AGTTTTCCTGCAGTCTTTGTCATGGGAAATGCATCCTTTCACAATGAACCAAAGCTGTCAGCGGATGCTTATCAAGAACACTCAAACATCAGCCTTCTGCAACTCAGTACCTACAACAGGCCTTTTCAGTCGGTGAAACAAACTTGAATTATAGTCTAATAAGTTTTCTTTCTGCAGCTCGAAATTTCTTTCAGACGACTTTAGAATCAGTGCAGTTTAAAATTTCATTTTATCCATAGATTTGGATAAAGCAAAGAGAAAAAATAATGAGTGGAAAAAGTAAAACCTACTAAGGAGCAGTGAGCAATAAATCCTGTTTTAGAGGTTGGCCAGTTTTAAAACTAGTAGCAAAGGCTGCTGGGAGTTAACCAGTGCCTGAGTGCAATTATATGTTAAAACCTACAGACTGTTTAAATCAGCAGAGCTGCAATTGAATTTTGTATTCTCTACCACGAACTATGAATTATCTCTGTTTTTCTGTGTTCTGTTATATTAAATTTATATATGCAGGTCAGAGTTTAACTCTCTGTGGGTCGGCACTTGTGAGAGTTGGGCAGTGAGAGCACAGGTTTTTCCTGGTGCTAGAATTCAGTGAGAAAGACAATAAACCGCTAAGTCACAATGACAGTATTAAGTAAATTAAGTAAAATAAACATGAGTAAATCTTTTTTGTCCCATGTGACCATGATGTCTTTTATTCGTGGGTGAAAGGATCGGTTGAGTTTTTCCTCCTGTGTGTCTGAGGAATAGACTATATTTAAAGGATAGACATAGCCTTGGGCGCTGTTGAAAGATAAATAAATAAGTCAATGCAGTCCATGAACAAGTGCCAGCAGGGGATGACTCCTATGATTGCAAAATCAAGTGTGATCGTATAGAGGTCTATGAGGCCATTTATTCTACTTTTTAGTTGATTTTAATGCCTCATTTAACATCTTACTAAGAAGCTTATAGTCTGAGTTGATACGTTCAAGTACTCTTCAATACAGCATGATGTTCATCCTGGAAATTATGTTCATATTTACAGTATGAACAGGGTTGGTTTTCTTTGGTAGGGTGACCATATTTTGATTTCCAGAAAAGAGGACACTTGCCCCAGTCATGAAGAACTTTAATAATACTGTTTGCTTAAAGAAAATTTTAACATATTTAAACGCTGCCTTCTCTGTGCGGTTAATGAATGGTGAAATATAAAATGTCATAAAGGCTTTTACAAGTTAATAAGTGCAAAAAATAACTTATAACCCTCTGGAATTAAATAATGATACAGAAATAATGCCTCATCAGTATTTAAAAAATTACCAGTACTGGGATGGTACGAGGGAAATTTCTTTTGTAGTTCATCTGAAAAGATGTACTTGCGCTTTGGCATCTTTTAAACATCATCAGGCGCGTTGCTTCATGCTGTCTGTCCCATCTGTGAGCACAGAACAACCACTCACAAAACAGCAACTACGGGATAACGCCTTCAACGCTTATTCCCTTCCGATGCTGACGGTGGATCAAGGAGACCAGCGCACAGGCTGCAGGCCTGGATGTACTGTCTAAATCGGCTGTCTCTCACCCTTTACCCACCCCTGTTGCTTGTCATGTGTTTCTTTGGTGTATTAAGAGTTTTTTCATGTGCTATGTGCAGAGGTGTTTTTTTTCTCCTTATCTTTCCTCATGTGGTGCATTTTCCATTGTTATACCTCTCTGACCTGTCTTCCCCATGTGATGTTTTGTGTAATGTATGTATGGTCGGAGGGTAAGATGGCGCCGCCATTGCGTGCAATAGGTCGGCAGCCTTATGAAATTTCCCTTTGTGGGACTAATAAAGGTATATCAAATCAAATCAAATAACGTCACACATATAGGTCCTCTTTAGGCCTATAGGAAAACCCAGACATTTCCATCAATCTTGAAAATCCCCCTGGACACACGGACAGAATGTTTTTAGACATACTTTGAAACACATTTAGTTGTCGACCTTCTCCTCCGGAGAAAAGAGGACGGTTAGTCACCCTATCTTTGCGTCATACTCAGCATGTCTCTTCCTCCAAACACAGTGGTTCAAGTTGATGCCAAAGAGCATTTTTTTGTTTCATCTGACACTGAGCACTGTCTCTGAGGCCTTCTCTGAATCATTTAGATGTTCACTGGGAAACCTAAAAGAGATCTGTACGTGTGCCATCTTGAGCAGGGGGACTTTGTGGATGTTGTACGATTACTGCCCACTACAGCATAGTGTGCTACCAGTGCTGTTGTTAGTGACTTTGGTAGTTTTGAACAAATCCACAACCTTTCTCATGATCATCATTACCCCATTGGGCAAGATGCTGTATAGAGCTCCAGACCGAAGGTCAAGGTCAATTTATGTTTCTTCCACCAACAGTTAGCAGCTTCTCACCAAGCTTCTTGCTGCTAATCTTTTAGCCCATTCCACCATTGTGCAAGTCTACAGTCTTGTCCCTGATGTCCTTTGACAGCTCTTAGGTGGTGAATATTAAAATGGAAATTGATTACATGGAGAGGTGTGTAGTTTAGTCAATATCTATAATTGATTGATTGATTGGAATCTCTGTGCCACATAGGCACACAGCCAATCTGCCAGAGCCAGAATTCTGGCTGGGTTGCAGTGAACCAAAAGCTTATTTCATTCAATGAGATGCAAATCAATTTATAACTTTTGTCGTGTGTTTTTTCTCTATTTTTGGTTGATATTATGTCTCTCTCCATTAAAATAAACTACCATAAATAGAGAGTTCATTTCTTGAGCAAACTTTAAAAAGTCAGCAGGGGATCAAATAATTACTTTGGCCAACTTTGCAGCTTTTAGTTTATGGAGTCTGTCTTCCATCCAGATCTTCAGAGTGTAGTGGAAGTTGCATGTCTGAGGGTGTGGAAGATTCGCTGTCTCTATATTTTATCTATGCTGTCCATACTGTATCTCCACAAAAGCTCAGGTGAACTATCATATTGTTTTTAATAGCTTTTAACCACGGGTCCATTACATTTCCATGACAACCAGGTGCTTTTTCTGTACCGTGATTGGTACTGTGGGAAAAAGAGAGGTTCAGTTGTACCCACACCACTCCAATCTCATCCCATCAGAAACTAGTTTGAGGGATGTCACTCGGCCTCCATGCATGCCCCAACTGCACACAAAGGAGAAGCCACATCGACATATTTTGGAGTAATTTGAACACCCCACTCTGCCATGTTTTCAGCCACTTACAGCTCATTACATTGGTTTTCTGGTACATGTATACTTGAGTCCTAATGGCTCTCACCAACCCCACATATTATGACAGGTAGCCACTCCTATCTCAAAAGCTTGCACAAGTCCACCCACCTTTATGCCGCCTGTTTAGCGTAAAATGGAGGCTTGTTGAAATAAACAAGTAAATGATAAAGAAAGTTAAAAACAAGGCAGAGCAGAACTAATTTTCTTTTTCTTCTTTAACACTTTGTGACCCCTGGTGGTAGAAAATCTGTTCTTCCTTAAAGGAAATAAATATCAAGAACAAAGAAAAACAAATAAGTCATAAATAGAAGTAATAAATAGCATAAGTTTGGTCCTATTAGGGTCTTTGAACATTTGAAGTTTGCTGAAAATAGGACAAGTAAAGTCAATTATTAGGCAGGCTAATAGCACAAATTTGCTTGAAAGACATTTAATTCACTGTCTTCTCCCTGCAGACCTTGATTTGGAAGTGAAATCGCTCCTCCTCAGAGAAAGAAAGGAAACAGACCCGAGGAAAGGCAACTGACGAGTAATTCCTATTAGACAAACATGCAATGTTACAGAGCAAAAGAGCAAAATTGCAGATTATCCCCTGATGTTTGACAAAGTAATTATTCTCTTTAACAGAGGGTCTCTGGGGTATTATATACTGTTTCTATATTTAGATGCATTAAGCTTTTCTTTTTATATTAACCTATAAAAATCAAATGACAGAGAGAGCACAGGTGGAACTAATAACATTACCAAGTGCTACTGCAATAAATCACTCCAACATGATGCAAAGTAACTACACAAATAAAATCAACCATTTTTTTTTATAACTGCACCTGTGCGCTACCTATTACAACATGTCAAAATATCTGCTCTGAGACAAAGGTGGACATATATTTTCACTACTGGTGTGAGAACAAAAATTCTGTTTTGGACATTGTTAAGCGAATAGTTCGGCATGGTTTTCAAAAACTCTTTCAGAAAAGATGTGAATACTGGATGAATGAGTAGAGAGAGCCAGCAGCTTTTAAGCTCGTTTAACACAAAAACAGAAGTGACATGTTTAAAGCTCAGTAATTAACACTTTGTCGTCTCCTTTGTTTAATCTGCACAAAAACGGCAGTGTAAAAAAACACAAGTTGCTGCTCCTGCCTCGTTTCAATCTCATTGTGGTTTAGGAGGTTTGGTGCACTGTGTTACCCCGAACCAGAGGCTCTCTGCCTCCTCACTGTAGCTTCATTGTTAATGGATAGATATGTTTCAGAACCTTCCTATCTATCTATCTATCTATCTATCTATCTATCTATCTATCTATCTATCTATCTATCTATCTATCTATCTATCTATCATTTTTGGCTTTTTGTATTTGTACACTTTTACACATTTTTTCCTTATTTATTTGTCTAATATGTCTCTAATTCTGTAACATGTGAATTTCTCCCATTGGAATTAATAACGTCTGTTTTGTGTCTTTATCTATCATTCTCAAATTAAAGTTTTCCTATGCAGCGGTATAAATTAAAGAAGTCTGGCCCCGTGTACCAAAATAAAATAAACTTCCTGATACTTGTACAAAGCTACTTGTCATTTTAACTGTTTATCCAAGTTTTGTGTTTGTTTTCTGATTAATGTTTTCTGTCATTTCTAAACACTACACAAACAGGCACTGTGGGAGAATTAGCTTAATTTAAACTAATGTCTGTAGGCTGCACGTGTGCCAGGAGGACTGTACCAAATGAAGACGCAGGGGGGCGCAGTTCCCCGCCAGGTGCGCCTTCTTCCCTGCATCCCTCCCCGCACCACCTTCCCATCCCATCGCTGCACGTTCTGGCTGCTTTATCGACCTTCTCCCCGCCGTGCAGCCCACTCCTCCTTCCTTCGCGGGGAGAGCGGCACTCTGACGCGCACAATAAATCATCCTCGCGAGGTTCCTTTTTCAAGCCCCATTTCATACTTACTCGCACTGGAGCGCAGACACGGGCGAGAGTCAAGCCTCGTAACTGTGGATGTAGCAAATGTGATTCAGCACAGCAAACAACGTGGGTGTTGTGCGTGCGAGCGCGCGCGCGCGCGTGTGTGCTTTTTCTTTTTTTCTTTTCTTTTCTTTTTTTGGTGGGGAGTGGAGGAAACGGAGGAGGAGGTGGGGAGAGAGCAGCGATATGAAACGCGTGTGTTTATGTCTCCTTCGTTACCCGTTATCTGTGACTGACCACCGGCTCAGTTTCACCTGTACGAACGACCTTGCAATTGCGACCGAAATTCTTCTAACGAGGTTTCCATGGAGGAGCAGTTTGTCGTTTTATCCGTGAGGGCTGAATTTGGTTCCTATTGGTGTCAAGATATTTCGGGATAACAGGTAAGACTGTGTAATTTATATAAATAGCGACGGGCATGCTGTTGCCACCACGTCGGCCTGTTTTTATGCTGTTCCCGACTGCACCGTCCGCTCCTAATGCCTTTTATTTGAGAATAATTGTTTGTTTTAGACTCGAGCAACGTGACGTGACCTCCCAACTGCGGCCAATTCCTGCACACTGAGCAGGCTGATTTATTATTTTTTTTAAAGAGGCAATCTAGAAAGAGGAGACTTCTTTTTCTTTTCTTTTTTTTTTTATTAAGGAGTTGGCTCCAACATGCCTGCCTTTCTTTGTCAAAGTGATGTAAGGGGTGCAGTTAGTCACAGCCTGGCATTTCAGCCCCCTAACTGCTCCTGTGGTACTTACCTGGTGTGGTGCCACACTGCAGCTCACCCCGTGAAATAGAGCTAACCTACAGGCCAAAGACCAGTACATTTTTTAAGGGCTGAATGGGGCTTGGGTGGACTTGCATGCACTAAAACATAGAAGAAAGAAAAGTAAGAAACGTGTAATTACGGTTCTTTTGGCTGTATTTTAAGTAAAAAAAACAAACAGAAAAACTTCAGAAGTAGCAGTAATTATGGGCTTTGTCCTTTATGCGATCCACTGAGTGCAAAGGTGTACACACACACACACACACACACACACACACACACACACACACACACACACACACACACAGTTTCTACCTTGCAGCGTTCACAAGGTAATTGCATACTTTAATGCCACAATGTCAGCTGAACAATCTGTGATGAATGCAGCTCAGGCCTTCAAACTAAGTACACTCCTACTCTTTCCAGCTGGGCTGTTTGTTCAGTCAGCATGTTACTTGGATGCAGGCAGAGTGTGATGTAGGTGGTAGATATGTGTTTATACATTTATTCCTTTTTTAAGTGTCAGTTAAGCCAGTGGTGTATTGGTTCCAGAAAGTACCCTCCTTGATTGAGACCGATCCCCCCCAAAGCTTTCTCACCACCTTCTGTCACCATCCTGTTAGCACCATTATTGCAAGCAGTGTGAATGTGTGCTTATGTGTGTGTGTGTGTGTGTGTGTGTGTGTGTGTGTGTGTGTGTGTGTGTGTCTGTGTGAGTGGGTGGGTGGGTCAGCTTGCATCTGTGTGTGGACAGCTCTATACAGCATGTGTTACACTGGTGTAATTCTCTAATCCTCCAATTTGCATTTTTAAACGATTTATTGGATGTGTAGGGGGAAAAAAGGAACACATGTAACTCAGAGCCATCCCTGTAAAACCCCGCTGCAAATGCAAACCATGCAACATGCGAAGTTGACTGTACTGTAATACCCTCCATACCTTTTACACACACCAATTTTCAGTCTTGAGATGCCAGCACTTTACACTGTGGGCCTATTACTGAGGTAAGGCATGCAGGAGTCTTCTAGAGAGGAGGCATACCAATCCAATTTAGCAGACTTTGGGAAGGGGGGGGGGGAGAAAACATGAAAGGTAGGAAATAAAATCTTGGCTGAGACCCCAACGTGTCTGATTTGACATGCAGGCAGCTAACAAACAATTAGACCCTCCATAAGTAGCACTCTGAACCAGACTCGCCTTGGGATTAGACCACAAATGAGCCACACGTCACAGTTTATGTCTTCTAAATGGAAAGTGAGGGTATGTGTGTGTGTGTGTGTGTGTGTGTGTGTGTGTGTGTGTGTGTGTGTGTGTGTGTGTGTGTGTGTGTGTGTAAGCTGGCTGGCTGTTACATGTGTTTCGTACATGGTGAGAAAGCAACTTTAGTGTGTAGGTGTGTGTGGGCTGTGTGACATTTAGCAGATTGATGTTATTATCTGCCCCTGCCCTTAATACGGCCGCAACACCACTTGAAGAAACTTGTATTTTCAGATCCGACTTATTCATATACGCTTCCCTTTTATGCGTGCGCAGAGTAATGTACACAAATCTTCCCATACGCTGCGCACTCGTAATATGTGTATGTGTGTGTGTATGAGACCGCTCCCTTATTTGCTGTGTTATTGCCTGCTCTTCATTGTGTGTATGTTTGACATTTTGTAATTGCATCATTACGCGCTCAGTCCCCTCCTGCAAGAAGCGCGCGCATCGCAATTTGCAACACATGCTACAAGCAGTCAGACTCTTGCCCTTGATTACGGACCTGGGTGGAATGGCTTCCTCATCAGGCTGTCTTGATTCACCCCAGCATGTGGGAAGACACATGCTGCTGTGGGTGAATCTAATTGATTGGATGGCACCCAATTCCCAGGTCCAAGTCTCCTCAGGCAGCCAGAGAGTGAATCTGTCCAAGTGAAGGATGAGCCTAGGCGTTGGTTGCTCCTCTAATAGATTGGCATGGACTTCCTCCCATATGCCTCTGGTATCACCCTCAGACATCTCCGGGTTCAAGTTGGCCACACTACAGGGCGCAAAGTGACATTGCCTGGATCATTGCTGATTAGAGATGTGAGGGCTATCCGGCACCAAACTGTTCCTCCAGTTTTACAGTGATTATGTTTCCGCTGACAGAAAAATTCTGACACTTCCCCTGTCTTAGCTTGATAGGTGATTAAAAGATGTTACGCTGTCAGTGGTGGAGTTTTTGGTATTTTACAAGGAGATTCTCGTTTCAACAGGTCAAGCTCCTCTCTCTCTCGGAGAACACAAGTGCCATTTCAAAGCTTATTGGATGAAAGTCTCATTTACCCCTGGCTGCCAAATATGACGTTGCCATGGAAACAGCTTCTACTGTTATCAATCATCGACTGTTTGACAGGTAAACTACCTTTTTTTTTTTTTTTACGAGTGATGGATTTTTGGGGGGGTTTCTGGTGCGTGCGCACGTGTGTCTGTGTGTGTGTGTGTGTGTGTGTGTGTGTGTGTGTGTGTGTGTGTGTGTGTCTTCACGTTTGGACATTTACAGCTGTGGAATGAGACAAAAATAGTGTCAGAGAGGATGATGGCTCAGGTTTATAGGAGCACTCTGCAGTATTGGCTTCCACTCACAATCCAGACACAGTACTCTCAATCTTCGTCATCACTTTCACCTGATGATGAGGCGTTTTACTTTTCTTTTCTTTTTTCACTTAGTCAAAAACACTTAAGTAACATAAAAAGAGAGCAAAGGTTTCCCCTTCTGCTGGGAATGATTTTCTATGAATAATAATCATGTAATGTTTGTATTTACCAAGCATAGACAAAAAGTTTGTTAGTAAATGATTAAAAAAGTTTTCTTGTGAATTTGTTAAACTAGAGGTGTGTATTTTATTTTTTTTAATGCTGGAGCAGTGACACTTTTAAAATGACAGAAATGGCTTCCTGGTACCGGGGAACGCTGTGAGAAGTTCATTTTTTAAAAATCTATTTGTTTGCAAGAACACTTTGCAACACCCGCAAAGATATGAGACTCGCTTCCCTGTTTTAAAAGCCTCTTTATGACACTTTTCCATCTAAGAAAAATCAGGTAATAATGGAGTCCCGACTCCATTACAGTGATTTCTATTCTGTCTTCATGCTCACGCTGGAATTGTGTCTCTGTCAGATTGCCTGGACAGTGGATCATTCCATGGTCCGAGATGGAGAATGGAGCCGGGTGATTTGTTCATTCCCATTGACTCCATAGAAGAGGAAGCTACTCTGACTTGTGACGCAAAGGGAACACCATCTCCTCAGTACAGGTAGGAGCACATTCACGTTTAGGTTTTTATTCTTCAGGTTTTCAAAAATGTTAGTTTGGGGTAAAATGGGTGAAAGACTGATTTAGAAATCATTATTTGCAAGATTTCGTTGGGTTTAACGTAGCAGTCATTTATAAGAAGTCGAGCTCAGCAGAATCCCAGCAGCTCAGCTGATCTCAATGTTCGCCAACATCAGCTGACAGCCTTGCCGATGCTCTTCCATACATTTAACTGGCAAATCTCACTTAGGACACACTATTAAAGCTGCTTTAGCTAGCCCACGTTTGCCTCATTCCCCAATGTTTGCACCTGCAAGGCGCTTTGCAACCCACCTGCACCCCATCACTTCGTCTTGTGCTGTACCTGACTTATTAAATGTCCCATCTATAGTCACTGATGCATGACTCTGTGTTGGGTCCCGCTTGTGCTCACTTCCAGCTTAGTACATTCATTCACTCATGGGAGTGAGATGCCAGAACACAGCTTTCAAATATAAACTGATGGAAATAAAGATCCAGCGTCCTAACTGAACTGCAGTTCAGTTAGCACATTATCAACGCCGTATTGCTCTTTTGTTTAAAATAACACAGGCGGACTCGTTCTCCACCTCATGAGCAGTTACTTGCACTTTCTCCACTCTTTTGCTTTCATCACCGACGGTATTTTCTCAACTGTCAACGTCAAAAGAGGAGCTTGTTTAAAGTAAATGATTAGTTGAGCAAACATAAAAGCTGCATTGAGACATGATCGCAATCTAAATGGAAAAAGAAGATGAGGGAAAGGAAGAAGTGATGTACTCATCTGGATATTCTCAGTGACTTTTTACCCCAGAAAAGAAAAGTAATACAGATGCAGACACCTTTTTATACTCCTGGCTGCTCCCAGCTTGCCATTCTTGCAAAGCCAATTTAGATTATAGTTTTCATGTGGAAAAGCAAGCCGCTTTCCTTTCTATTAATTTTCTCCAAATTAGACTGAAATGCACATAGACACTCTGTGCAGCAGTGTCATTATGGCTTTACTAATTCATATTGACTAACACACCACCAATCTGCCTCTTGTCTTACCAGATAGTATCTTAGTGACACATGTGTAGCATCTTAATGATCGTCTCCTCTTATAAAACACAATGAGGCCGATGCAGGTTGCTAGACATCGGTTGGCACCAACAGACATTGATTACAAGTGTCTTTGGCATTCGACGTTGGAATTACTGCAGCACAGCCGGCGCAGATGAAATGAATGACAGTGGTGTGGAGTATGTACATTCATTATTTCAGGCTCTTCACATTCCCCATCTAAGACCAGGTATTTCCATGTACTGATTAAAGGTGAGATGAGCATGTTTAACGGGGTGTCTTGTCACGCTGGCTGTGCTGGGCTCTGTATGCCCTCAGCACCTCTCTGGCTCCTCTCTTGAAGTGTAAATGGGCTCACACTGCTCTCTCCCATCCCCCTTCTTCTCTTTTCCCCCTTTTCCCTTTCCTCTGCCACTCCTGTCACTCACAGAGATATGAGACTTTCATACTATGCGCACAGCACTGATTTAAAAACTCGTGGGAGAAAATCAGATCTTCTATAGAAAAGCATCGTTGCTGCTGCAGGCTATAAAAGTTACACTGTGTGAGTGTCTTAAACGTAAACAGAAGGTGACTTGTCTACCCTTTACTTGACCTGAGGTTTGAAGTCTGTGGCTCTAGACCGGTAGATCATCCAGAATACTCGGATTTCTCTGTGGTCAGACAACATGTGTTCACAAAATGAGTTTCAAGCGGAGTAATTCAGTTTTCCAGTTGCCATTCAATCACCTGCCCTATGTTCGTGGCACCACTGAACAGCAGAGGCACTTCAGAGCAGGTCAAAAAGAGGTGAAAACGGTGGCTAAGGGATTAAGAGCTGAATGCAAGAGTGGACATGGACACCTACACAAACATGCAGGCATGTATCACTAGTCATTCCAGCCCTTTAGGTATTCATCGTAAGCCACAAGAGTAATAGGGTTAACCTCATTGCATACAGTGACCAAGCTGCATGTGTATTGATCGGCCACAACATTAAAACCACCTGCCTGATCTTGTGTAGGTCTGCCTCGTGGCGTCAAAGCAACACGGTCCCCTCAGAGCATGGATGTGGGATTTCTGGGGAAGTCCTGGCATCAGGATATTTGTAGTCAAGTCTTTCTTCGCCTTTCCGTCTCCAGCAACTTCATCATCTTGTTTATGTCTGTCTTTTCGCACAAATGTTTCTGTTATGCTTCCCTTTCTTGGCAAAGGAGATATTTTGCTTTATTTTTCAAAGTTATTTGAGGTTTCTGAAACCAGTGGGCAGTTTTGCCTGCCACTTCAAGTTTCTGCCCTTTTTATTGCTTTGTTTCTGCAGCACAGACGGTTCATGAAGAGTCATATTTCATTAGTTTAAAAAACAAAGGTGTTATCGAGCGCTTGCTTTTTTTTTTGTTCAAGTTGGTGGGAAAGCTGTCAATCAGGCTGTGGTGTCAAATAAACAACCACTCTCTCCTTTCCAGGATGTCCACATACACATATACCATAGATGTGAGAGCAAATTGATCTGCCAGTCTGCATTCTGTGTAAGCAATCTATGTGCAGCGCTGTGGAAATATTTCAGGCAGAGAGGCATTGGTTAAGTCACAAACTCATTGTGCAGCATGATAAACGTGCACTGATCAGCCATTAAAACCTCCTCTATTGTTTAGATGCATCAAAACAGCACTGACCTTTTTGGGCATGGATTCAGGACCTCTGAGTCTAGCTCATTGGTAGCAGATCCTCGAGGTCCGCTGGGTTAAGAGCTCTTATTGGATTGGGCATCCCACAGATGCTTGAACAGATTGGGATATGAGCCCTCAACTTTTCGAAATATTACCTGACGGAGGTGCATGTGAGAATGCAAATGTCCCACGCAGTGGGTTCTGGTTTGCACAGATTGTGAGAACAGCACAGATAATACCCTGGTGAATGCACAGCTAGCAAGCCCTATGTGCTGCCTTGTGGACGCTCTGCACAGGAAGATCTCTACTCTAAACCAAACTGAATATTTCCAGCATCGAGAACATGGCTGGCACGAGCGATCTCCATGTGTACTGCATGTGAGAGAAGACGGCATCTTCCCAAGTACTGCCAACTTTTTCCAGAGTTAATGTGTGAAAACGATTTTTGTAATACTCCCAAAATGTTCCCACCACCTTTTTTTTAAATGCAGTGGAGCGCATTGCTCTACTGAGGCTGGAGGAAGCCACTGCAATTGTCATGAGTCTGCAACCATGTAAAGCATTAAAGTAAAATCCACATGAATTCAGTGCATTTTAATGACCAGTGTTATTCCAATGTTGATATTGTTGCACCTGATCGCTAATTTTTCTTTAAGAATGTTTTCTTTTTCTTCTCTCTTTTACTGGGAAGCGAAACATATATGCTTTTGAAAAGTCATCCATTGTGTTTCCCACATGTCTGTTGCCACTTGTTGCCACTTAAGTAAAGCAAGAAAGGAAGTGTTTTGCTAAGTGAAAGAAAGGGTTATGTTTTTTTCTTAAAGACAAACAATGGAACATTCTTGAAAAGTGCTCTGTCCTTGAACCCATCAATGCTCAGCTTTTGAATAGCATTTAAAAGGAGATAGAGTTTTTGCGGGAATGAAAATGAATAATGAGACTTGCTTGAATCAATGAATTAACCTTAAGTTTTTAAGAGTTCTTTTAGGTGCTTCATTTATTTGATAGCACCGTCGTAACCTGCTTCACAGAGCTTCTTCTTTTTTTAATTCTTCCTCCTGCTAAGTGTTGGAAAGATATAATAAAGGGTGAAAAGGAGTTTAAAAGACCTCCTTTGATACATTGAGCCATTGTTACCTCTTGCCAGGTGGTAATGTTTAGTCCTGATGGGGAGTCAAAGGTGGAATAATATCACATTATGTAAATCTAATGTGACAGAGACGAGGTGATTATGGTTAGACTGATGATCATTGTCCAGAATGGCTTCTAAAACCTTTGTCCTCCGCTCCCCTTAAATAGCGAAGGACAGCTTTGTGTATGATACCCCTAGATTAAACTTTAATGATCCCTGTGGGGAAAATGGGATAACTGCAGCAGCAAGTAGTAGCAGAGCTAAATAAAGAAAAATGGAAAAAATACAACACCGTAAAGAAATTTGCACTTCAAGGTTTATGCAGACACAAAGGACATCTGTTAGGTGAGTAAATTAATGATATATAGACATGGCAGCATGATTACGGTACTGTTAGACTGCAGGTACAAAAAAATATGATTCGCTCAAGCAGCATACAGTCTCGAAAAACAAAGTACACTCTCTTTTAATCCTAAGGTGGTAAATTTCAGCAGATAATAAATTCATCGGGTCCTTATCAGCTTCTAAAGTTACTTAAATACAACCTCAGATGTAGAACAATATATGATATATTGTTTATTTATTTTAACAAAAATAAGCTAAAATGCAGAAACATTTTGGTTTCTGCAAAATGTTTCTGCATTTTGGTAATAACTATAACCACAATAACATGAATGAATAGTTTTTTGCGTGACTTTATCAGTCTCTCACATTGTTGTGGAGGAATTTTGATTCACTCTTCTTTACAGCATTGATTCAGTTCATCAAAGTTTGTAGACTGTTGTTTATGCACAGCTCTCTTAAGGTCCCACCACAGGGTTTCAGTCAGCTTGAAGTCTGGAAGAGTTCATTGTCGACTCACTGACAGCTGGTTTGAGGTGTTTGTGCTGATATTCGGCGTTTGGTTTTCTCCAAATGTGGCACAGTGCAATGTGGCCAAACAACGGTCTTGCCTGTCCTCAGGACATTGTTTCAGAAGTCTTGTGGTTTCTGCAGATGCAGCTTTGCAAACTTTAGCTGAGCAGCCGTGTGATTTTTAGGGAGAAGAGGGTTTTCTCCTGGCAGCTCTTCCAACCAAGCCATACTTGCCTTTTTCTAATTGAGTTGTCATGAACTTTAACTTTTAATGCTAACTCAGATGTTGCTTTGAGGTTTTTGCAGGTCACCTTTCTGACCTTGGGTGAATTTGCTGGCACTCCCACTCCTGGGAAGACTAGCAGCTGTCTTTATATTTTTCCACTTGTGAATAATCATTCTTACTGTAGAATGATGGACTTAAAATTGTGGGGGAATGTGCTTTAGACCCTTCCTAGTTTAATGGTCAGCAGCTTCTCCCAGATCACTGCTGATGTCTTTCCTCCTTGGCATTTTGCTAACACACACCTGAACTTTACAGACCAACAGACTGCCAAAAATCTTTCTTTTATAGAGGTGCTTACACTTGCTGATCATCACTTAATCAAGTGGACTGGATTAGCAGCACTTGGCTGTTTCTCATCCTCTTAATTCCTGGGGAATCAGTAAGGGTGTACTTAGTTTTTTCATGCTTCTGCATTTTGCTTGGGTGGGGATTTGTTTGTTTTTTTCAATATATAATGGCATGGCATAATATGTCGTCATCTGTTTGTCTGAGCCTGTAGTAACCTTGTATCAACTTTGAATCAATTAATTTTCATTGTGTCCTGATGCACGAGCCTTAGAATTTAAAGAGGGTGTACTTTCTTTTCAAATGACTGCAAGCAAAGTTTATCAAGTTGATGCACAGAACTGTCCATAATTTGCTGGCAGTCACACATGTATCAACTCCATTGTCCTTAACCCTGCCTGAACACAACACAGTTGTGTTTGCAGATTTGTTTGTTTTTAAGGAAGTTTAATCACAGCCGAAAAGAATCGTTGGCCAAAGTCCTAACCACAAGAGTTCATTTCAACTAGCAACCTTTTAAAATCCTCGGCACCATCGCAAATCACACCACATAAAGTGTATTATTCTTATTCCAAGTGAGTTACCACAGTGAATTGTGTTCTCCACTCACCTCCTGTCAGACCACCTTGGTTGGAAGGAAGAAGGGGACTGCGTGTTTTGCCAGGGACTGATGGTGTCTTTGCCCTCACAGATGGTCACTGAATGGGACTCTCATAAATCTGGGTCTGGATCGTCGGCGGCGTCTGTCTGGGGGCAACCTCATTATAAGCAGCCTGGACCGCTACCAGGATGTAGGGATGTACCAGTGTATGGCCTACAACACAGTAGGAGCTATCCTCAGCAGAAGAGCAAGTCTTCAGTTTGCCTGTAAGTTACAGTCAGAGTTTTAACTACAAAAAACCACGGGTGTGTAAATGCTCTTAACTACAAATAATGCAGACGTACACTAAAATGGAAGCGCTTTATTTGCAGTATTTATCAGCACGCAGCAAGTTCAGTGGGGAGCCGCATTAAATGTTAACGTAACATGGGAAGAATCTGAGTGCGATGACGCTTCCTTACTTATGGTCATGCAGACTAAGAGTTGCTATTTCACTTTGTGTTGTTTGCTTCAATCAGAAGTCATTCCAGTTTCGTTGCATGCACTCTGGGGTAAAGTAGTCTACCAAATTGCACAAGTAGTGTTTGAAGAATAACTTAATAAGGACTGGAGCCTGAAGAATAAAAAAAAAGAACAGAACACAGCATACCTGCACTTTTATGAAAAAGGAAGAACAAAGCAAATGAATATAAGCTGCAGTGCAAACTATACTACAATGCATTGCTACAAAAATAATAATTTAGGCAGTAAAAAAAATGTACTTTCACATCACGTTCCTGCTGGTGAAGCAGGTAAACAACTCAAATGAATAACCAAATGAATACTTATTACTTCTATACTATTCATTAAGGCTTCCTTTCATGCAGATCGCAACAAAGCGCCTTTTCACACCTTCACTCGGTGGTGGTATCTTGCCGTGCAGATGTTTTGGGTCTTTTTTTGACAAGCTTTTAAGATATGGGATGGTCAGAAAAAATGGAATAATGACATTTTAATAACTTAACAACAATGACTTGAGAATAATGACCGGATAATGGATAATCTAACCTCTCTGAAAAAAGTTTGAGTCATTTTATTAACCGTCAAAGGAGTCTCCAATGAAAAACTATAGTTCTTTTTCTTTTTCAGATTCTCTTAGCAATATTTGGATGCAACACAAAAGAATAATAACAAGAAAAAAATATTACTAGGTACATATACCTTAAGGTGTAGCTCAATAAAAAAAGTTTTCAGTCGTTTCAACTTTTTTCTTATAGTGTTATGAGCTCTTGCAGCATATCTCGTCATGGTATATTAATGTCTTGGTCCCCCTCAGGCAGTTTTTGGGCAGCTATTTTGAAACCACTATAAAATGAATAGAGAGAGATCCAAAAGTTTATTCTTACAATGGACAAACTCTACCTTGTAAAGCACTGATTTAAGAAAAAACTGTAAAGGTTGAAGTATGAAGTTTATAAATCCTCAAATTGTAATTCTGCTTGGCACATGCAAAGTTGCACAGCCTTACAGACTTCATCACGACTCAATTCAGAGTGCAGATGTAGCGAATGGCTCTCGCTCCTCCCACCAGAGCCTTGAACATATGCCAGGCTAATTTACACGATTCATACAGAGGCTATGAACCGTCATGAACCTCTTCTGTGCACGAGCCGCAGTTCAGCAACATGATTGGCTCGTGTGTTTACCTGTTCGGCCATCTCTGCTGCTGCAGGATAGATTTCTATTTGAGATTCTGTGCTAAGTCAAGTCTTGTGATTTCAGCGCTTACACAAACATGTACATAAATTAAGTTAGTGGCGGGTTTTCACATCCAAGTTCCTTTTTTTCACAAAATGGCATATCGCTCATATCTCATTCAGGCCCTGGGTTCAGCAGTCTGTCTAAACTCTTCTGTTTCAGAGCCTCACTTGTCTCAGTTGCTTTTGTTCTCCCTCAGGCCTTGCAGAAGTGCAATTTTCATTACAGCTTTCTTATGGGTTTGTGTCAGTGTCTTCCAGAAAGCTTTTACTCAGCCTCTTTTGCACTCCCCTGATATGTGACATCCTACAGTAAGCTTCCTTTTCATTTTTCCCCTCCCTGTCAGACTTAGATCATTTCAAAGTTCACACCAGAAGCGCAGTGTCCGTCCGAGAGGGACAAGGAGTGGTGTTGCTTTGTGGATCGCCCACTTCCTCAGGAGGTAAACTCTGCTGTTGTTTTGAGTCCTGCTGAAGTGTGATTAAAACATAATCTTGCTGCCACTGATTAGCCCCTTTTCTAATCACAGTTAATTCTCTTAATCACATTTAATATCAGAGAGCATCCAGGATCGTCTCATGCGCTTCCTTGTTTGCCTTCCAGACCTTACATATGCATGGATCTTCAATGAGTACCCGTACTTCGTTCAGCAAGACAATCGGCGCTTCGTCTCCCAGCAGACGGGAAACCTTTACATTGCCAAGGTGGAGCCCTCTGATGTGGGCAACTACACGTGTGTAGTGATGAACAGCATCACAAAGGGCAAGGTTCAGAGCTCCCCCACGTCTCTGATCCTCAGGACAGATGGTAAGACACAGCTTGTGCCTTTGACGTGACAAGTATTGCCTTTCAGCCTCGCATTATGGGCCTTTCATTTTAAGGTGGCTTTAATCATTACGCCAGCGAGAGTGCTCTTTATCTCGTTGTACCTCACTGAAGTTGAGTCACAGAGGGCTAATGCCTGTAAGTAAATAGTTGCTCCTCAATGTAGGCCAGCAAACAAAGCACCCAAATCTCTTCTTTGCTGACTTAGCTTCTCTTATAATTCGCAGTCCCTTTAAAAGCTTTCTCTTTGCTTTCACATGAATTCTCGGGCCTGTTCTCAGCAGCGTGTTGTTCTGTTCTCTGTTATGCTTTCATAGAACGAGTGAATAAAGATTGCCTTGGGAATGAATTAAACATAAGTCATACGTCAGTGGACCATTACATTGAGTGTTCTGGTGGTTCAGCCAGTTTCTACTCAGTGTACTGTACATGTAACTGCATAAATTTAAATCCCCTTGCATCACTTTCTGGTCGCGATCTTGAGTGCCTTTCCTGAATGCTGATATTAACAATGAAACACAACAGAGGTTAGGAACTGCCTACTCAAGCTTTGAAATAGCAGATTAAAAAAAAATCTCTAGATGAAAAATAATGCTCGGTGTATTTAAATTATTCCTCGCTGGGTTTTGGCTACACTCTGGTGACTGTACTCTTAAGCGATGCACGATTTTGAGTTTAGTTTACCCATGAGAGAGCGTTTGCTCATGTGCATTTCATTTTTTCCTCTGTTAGCTTTCCAGTGCTATTGTTTGGTCCATAATGCCAGCCGTAATGCTTGTAACTCATGCATAATGGAATACTGAGCAAGTTCTTGTGCTTGGTCCTCATAGGAGTGATGGGTGAATACGAGCCGAAAATAGAAGTTAATTTCCCAGACAATGTACCCGCCGCGAAAGGATCAACAGTTACGCTGGAATGTTTCGCCCTTGGGAAGTAAGCTGGATTTCCTCAAGCATGTTTTTAATCTTTCACTGTCTTTTCTTTCCATACAAGGAACATCTGGATTTCTAAGCAATTATGGTTCTTAGAGCGTGGCATCAAGCCACGATTGGTCTGAAAGCAACTTGTCGTTGGAATGGGTTAAGTCCAGACCAGGGATGTCAAACTCATTTTATATCCTGGGGGCACATACAGCCCACAGGAAATCTGTCAACATGACTCTTTGGGCTTAAATTGTAAGAAATAGGTGTGTAAAATTATCATAAATTATAAAACAAAGGTTTTGTCAAGAGAATGTCTTTTTTTTCTACTCACCCATTGTAAATAAAGACATTTCTGTAGTAGATAAGATCATTTAATTGTTTATCTGGTACTTCATTACTTTGTTTTAGTATGAATGACAGTGGGGGAGGTCTTCATCAGTGGGAAAAGCTGTAAAATGTATAAAAATAAAGTTAAAGGTCTCCAAAGATTATTTTCCAAAACCACTCAGCGGGCCAGATTGGAGTCTTTGCTGGGCCAATCTGTTTTGACACCCGTGGTCTTGACCATTTATCAGCAAAACGAAAAAAATAAGTTCTGCAGTCCATCTGACGCTTTATTGCTACAGATTGTTACAGACACCTGCACCTGATTCCCCGCTGAGCTCTTCCTTCGCATGTGTCTCACAGCCCCGTCCCAGAAATCACCTGGAGGAGGGCCAACGGCGTTCCCTTCCCCAGCAAAGTCAAAATGAAGTACTCGAACGCCGTGCTGGAGATTCCCAGCTTTCAGCAGGACGACACGGGCGGTTACGAGTGCGTGGCCGAGAACAAGATGGGGAAGAACACAGTCACCGGTCGGCTGGCTTTTTATGGTACTGCGACTTTTGTTTGAGTTTTGAGACGACGCCACAGACAATTGAGTTAGACAAAATGGGTAAACAATCAATATCTCTGCTTCTTTCAGCAACGTCGACAATTGTCACGTCGTTAGACTTTGTAAATGGCAACAATTGTAATGTGATCGTTTAAAAGCTATAAGTAATTTTATAATAGCAAGAGCTCATTGTTATACACGCTACTTTAATGCACACACAAATCTCTGCCTTCTTCCTGCATTTTAAGCGTTTCACTGCAGCTATTACATTTTGGGTTCTTGGCTTGCTTCAGCCGCTGTGTTTTCCTGTGAATCTGTGAAAGAGGGAAAAATGACACTTGTGAAATTGGAAGTGACAGTATGTACAGTGCCACCGAAGTGAGCTGTGCTTATTATGAGCATTGCACTCATGAAACCCATGAAATTTCCTGAAAGCTGTAAATATATGAGAGACTTAGGGGGGGTTGTGTGCTGGATGGGAAACAAGCAGGACCTGACGTTTATTATACGCAGAATTAAGGTGACAGTTTGGGGGGGTGAGTGCTGGTATCGGGTGCTGTTCGCCGGTCATGAGAGCTTCTTCCTTTGTGGTTCGGGTTTTAATGTTAATCTTTGGGTTGCCTCGGGCTGCTGACACATTTAAGAGATGTAACTGATAGACTGAATTCAATTTTCTCTCCTCTAGCCTCTTAAAGGAAAACCCATTGACGACCCCCCCCCCCCCCTAATTTGGGCTGCCAATCTGCACACGCTTTCCTTTGAACTTATTTAGATGCAGCTTATTTAATATGATAATGCTCCTTCCTCGAAATCTGCCCTCTGGTTCTTGTCAGATAATTCACTCGAGGATAATTCTGTGTCCTCAGCAAAGCCTCAGTGGGTCCAGACAATGAAAGACACGGCTCTAGCCATTGAGGAGAGACTTTACTGGGAGTGTCGAGCCAACGGCAGGCCCAAACCCTCCTACACGTGGCTGAAGAACGGCCAACAGCTCCTCTCAGAGGTAAATTACCGGCTGTCGTCTGCCACCTACAAGTGTTTCATTTTAAAGACTTAATCTTCAGCTTCAGCTCTTCCTTTCATTTCCGAGAGCCTGGCATAAAACACACTGCTGTTTTCCCGAGTGTAATTCAGAGTGCGATGAGAGGAGAGGGTAAACATCTTACTAAGGTGTGCCAGTGATGAGACATGGATGTAACTGTCTCGTATTCTGCTTTACCTTGGCAGATTACAGAGTCTTAGAAAGTGGATGTGTACGGCTCCCGAGAGATTGCTCTATTTTATCTGAATGGAGTCAGTGCTTGTTTTTCATTATTCATGGTGCATGTTTAAGCTCCTTCATATTGAGGGACAATGGGTTTAATCTTCTGTGAAATATACTGTATATAGCACTACACCTAACTCTAGACCACCAGAGAAATACATGTGGTCTTGCATATTTTGAGATTTTTAAATTTGGCTGACCTCGATATGCCTCTGACACTTAATTTCTTACCTCTTACATGCATTATACTGTAGCAATAACCATCCTGATATTGTTCAAATCTAATGTTTAAATATCCTTCTTTTATTTGAGGTTTATTGTTTTTACTGTTGTACGATTCAGAATATGATTTTCACCATGAAAGTTGCATTTTTATCTAATTTGTTTCATATTTATAGTACAGAATATAGCTAATGATTAAAAAAAAACACTAGTAGGTGCTGTACTGTATATGGTTAATACTGAGAAAATAAATGAAAAAGTGCAGATATAATACAAAAAGCTCAAATATTGCATAGACTGGACCAAAAGTGCACAGGATAGGGAAAAAAATGAATGTTCCATACTTAGAAAACAAAATTGTGCTTTGTGCTCATAGCGATAAATTATTTTGCAACAGCATCCCGATTTGATCCGCGTCCATTGACAGCACCTCTAAACAAATCCAGCACTTGCCAGAGCGCGCCGCAGAAAGCAGAAGCTACCTGTAAGTGTAAGGAGAATAATTGCTTTCTTTCAACCTTTTCTTCACAGGACAGGATCCATGTGGAGGACGGAGTCCTGTCAGTGTCTGCGCTGACCCTGTCTGACGCTGGCATGTACCAGTGTGTGGCCGAGAATAAACACGGTGTCATATATTTTGCTGCTGAACTAATGGTTTTAGGTAGGATGGCATTTATCTCTCTTCTAAATCCTCAAATCTTTGTTGCCAAAAGGATCTTAAAGGTCATCTTTCTGTCATTCTTAAAGGTTGTCTGGATTAGCAGATAATAGGGTCAATGTGGATGTTTTTGTGGGGTCAGACACATTTAGATATATATATTTTTTTCCCCTTTACTTTGATGTGGGGATGAAGATGGTGTAATAGATGCCAAACTCATAGCTGAATAGTAAACATGAACTTTTACTGCAAAACCAATTAAAAGTTATAACAATATTTTCTGCTTCTTCTTTTATTAATACATAAAACTGGCTAAAAAACACCGTTACAGCGTCGATTTTTATGCCGGTTTGATTCGTCGGTTTTAAAAAACGATGTGTTTCAATTACTGTAAGATTTGATGATTTTCATGGATCAAACTGGTGCTTGAAATGCTCAGTGAGATTTGCTGCAGTCTTGCACTAACGCCAGTTTGCTGTTTCCCACCAGCTTCTCCTCCAGACTTCACAGGGAACCTCCTCAGAGCTTTGCTCAAAGCCAAGACAGGAACTACAGTGACTTTAGAATGTAAACCCCAGGCCTATCCCATCGCTAGCATTTTATGGAAGAAAGGCAACCTGCCAATCCACACAAATGACAGGTAGTAACAGGGTTAACGTTATTCTGAAAAAGTCAATGTACACAGTTTAATAGGCTTGTTTTTTCCGTATATAAGCCAGTTATCTATCCCAGCTACACTTAAGCCATCTTTGGTCTAATCAATATTCACCACACACACACATGCTGCCTAACTGGAAGATGTCCATTATGTAGAATGCTGAAAAATCCAGAAGTCGGTGTTTATCTGATGGTAAAATGAGTCTTTGTTCTTGGCAGTCGGATTGTAAACTGCTCTCACTGTTTGTGTACTCCTATAGGATCACACTGTCCCCAGATGGAACGCTGAGGCTTGCCAACGTGAGCAAGTCTGATGCAGGCAGCTATACGTGCTTTGCTAGGAATAGATTTGGCATGTCAAGTACAACTGGAAGGCTCCTTGTTACCGGTAAGCTCTCCTGTTAAATAGCAGATTGTTTGTGCGCTCCACTTAGTAAGCAGAATTTTATGCACACTATGGATTAACACACGAGAGCTAGCGTACAGCAAGGACCCGAGTCAATAACTTATAGTTAAATTTAAAAAAATAAATAAATAAACTTTGAGGTTTTGTGCTGAGTTGTGTGTCTATACTTTGTAAGGTCTCTAGTCTTGCGATTAAGTAGACTAAATATTTCAGATAATCATTTGATTGTTTTGTTTTTATTTGAAGGGATGTAATAAAAACAAAAAAACTTTACGCGTGCATTATTGAGTCGTTTTGTCCGGACGCATTTTGCAGCGGCTGCAGTAATGCGCTTGGAAGGCGTTTGACGAAACACTCGATCATTGTTTTCCTCAAAGCAGTTGAGGCAACCAATTTAGTGCAATAAATGAAAGTGCCCTGAGTGGAAGCGGTGAGCACATTAGTGAGGTGGTGTTACAGATGCTGTTATTGTTGAGCGTGTTGTTGTTTTTTTCATTGGAGTTGAATGTTCTGTGAGTTTGTTATTGGTTTTTATTAATGTGCTGAATGATATTGTCTGCCGCTGTAACTGCCAAGGCCAGTTATTTTTTTTGAAATTACCGGAGTATTTTTTCACAGCCGTAAAGCATTCGGAGGCACAGAGCCATGACCCACACATTGATTATTAGTAGCTTGAGAACTGAGGGGACGCTTTTTTTATCCCTTGACAGCTTCTCCAAGGTAAGATATGAGAGTACAAATCCACTTGCTTTGTGTTGTATCTTCTTGATTTGATTCCTGCCGTTCATTATCTTGACTTTTTGAAGCACAGGAGGCCAAATGATTGCTATAGCAGACTTTAAAGCAGCGCTCTTCATTTTTTATTTTTTTTTGTTGTTGTACTGGTTGTGCAGAGCAGCTCATTACATGAAGTTTTATCTGATCCATGGTGTATTGTAATTGCTATCAGGATTTCTGAAGATTATGTGAGCCGTTTTAGTGGTGGCAAGGCTGCATGTTATCACACATTATTTGACTGAGTTTTTCATGAGACCTTCCTTTATATACACAGACTGCTCTGCCTGTGACTCACTGTATTGCGGAGCATGATTTTTGTGTCTCGGGAAGTGTTGTGTCACTACTCTGCTCCTATTTCCTGAAAATCAACAAAAGGGCTGCTCATCTGCTGGAAGTGAAAAGTCTCATGTCTCACATAAGATTGCCACCCTCCCCTTTAGAAATGGCTGGCTCTCACGTTTTTATTTTTCCTGGGTAGATCCAACCAGAATCATCCAGGGGCCAGTGGACACAGAGATCATTGTGGGCGAGAGCATTGTGTTACCCTGCCAGGTCACCAGCGATCCCGTCCTTGATGTTTCTTTCTCCTGGGCCTTCAATGGACAGCTCATCGCCAAGGGAGACGGTCACTTTGAATTTGTGGGTGGGGTGAGTGACCCACAGCCGTAGTTTTTTTGTTTTTGTTTTTTCTTATGTGCGAATGGGCACTTGGCACCTCTCCCCATCTTGCTTCACTTCATCCCTGCCATTAGTTTAAAGGGACAGCTTGTGGTTTGACACCCTGGTATTTCTTGGAGAGATAGAGCATGGCAAGTTTTGCTGCATTTGCTGTTATACCATCCTTTTTCTTTTGCTATTTTAAATTTCTCTCTGGTGGCAAAGAAGGCTGGGGAAAAGTCTTTGGAATGAAGCGTTATTAGATCATTTAAGACCTCTTAGCTTCTAATTGTATTCTTGTGAATGGAAACATGGCAGCCGTCGTGTCAAAATACACTTCCTACATAGAAATCATCATGTAGGTAATGCGCTAGTTGCTCAGCCATTGTGACAGGTTGTCTTCTATTTGAGCACACTTCTCTTACTCTTGCTCAGTCTTCTGAAGTCATCTATTTTTTAATACGTTGGCTGGTCTCTTCAAATTCTGCTTTGACATGGCCTGCTGCACAGCCTCTTCATAACGGGAAGGAATACGTATTATTAGAGGTGCCTTGTAAAGGAATCAAAGCATGGCAGAGACCCAAACGACAAAACACTTTGAGAACATCCTCGCACCCTTTGAGATTAACCATTCTTCTTGGGTGTGTGTGTGTATGCGTTTGACTGACAATGTTCTTATCTGAAAAGAGACTCCTTCCCCAGAAATGCTCAAATGTCCCCAGTCCAAAGAGATTATCAACTTAACTTTGCTGCTTCAGGGAATTTAATTTCCATAATTAAACCACATTGGCTGTGCTGCCACGTTTTCCTGCCAAAGCCAAGAGAACGATTTCACCACTAATTTACCATTTTCTGCTTACGGGTGTCCTCTTAGATGAGAGCCTTTTCTTTTCTTTTTTTTGTTTTCTTCTCCAAATGAGCAAAAGCTGCCTGCTGTACTCAGTAGTAAAAGCTTATTTATGTAGTTGCTTGCAACAGGTCTTGAAGGTCACAGCACTGACCTCTGCAAAAGGCGGGTAAAGCAGTCGAGACCTTGTCAGACACAAAAACTCAATTTACTCTCTGTTGTTTTTGTGAATTTTGGCCTTTTTCTTTTTCATTCGAGCTCATGTTGAACAGCTGTTTGTGACCTGATACTGTATGTACACAGAATTTCTCCCAGAAACACTGTGCAGCCACTTTTCCTCAGCAATTTCCAAGCTAAGTACTGTAACTAAAGGATATGCAAACGGTTTTTAGAGCTGCTATTTACTGTGTCTTTATATATGCTTTGCTACCTTTTTTAATAAGCTGTCACGAGGTCCATTATCTTTCATGCTACATAAAGCTCTCTTTCCTCCTTCGATAGAGAACAGCAGGAGATCTTATGATCAGGAACATTCAGCTTTACCATGCTGGCAAATACATCTGTGTGGTGGACACGGACGTGGAGAGTCTATCAGCCGTGGCTGTATTGATTGTGAAAGGTAAGAAAAGCTCATCTCTGCTCTGCAGTCACCAATTAAAATAGGGCTTACAGCCAGGGATGTTTAATGGGTAAAAAAAAAAAAGGGAGAGAGAGAAATTAAAAAAGTAGACTCAACGTAAAGTGGATGATGGATGCAGCCTCAGTAAAAAGAAGTCAGTAGTCTTTAAGTGTTACTGAGCAGAGCAGTGTTAAAGAGATTTCAGAGAGATTACATCGCTATGCTTTGCTGAGAATTAAAATAAAAAATCTTTTGAGGCGTGCAGTTTTCGATAGGGTTTTTAAACTCAAATAGGTTTGTTTTAGATTGAGATTGCAGTGCAACCAAAGTGTCCATATTCTCATCAGAATCACCCTGGATATCATCAGAGTGTTTATTTCTACTACAAGGCGCTTCATTACATCAAACAGAGGAAGGCGCTTTCCTTTTCTCTGGCGCTCAGAGATGTTTTTGGAAGAAAACTTCACAAAACTGTGTGAAATTCTAAGAGTACGAGCCATACATTTTTTAGGATGTGTTCCTTTTTCTCCCTCTCCCTGTCTTTTAATGACCAGTTTTCAATATTGTTGCAGTGTACTTGACAGCAGAATGCTTACATGCCTGTCTGCGCTCACTCATGCAGTATGTATAGCTCCTAAGAGACATTATTGTCGAGAGCTACATTTGGCAGAACAAAATAACTTTTGTTATTTATTTCAGGGAGGGGTGTGTTTGTGTTGCTCGTGGAATTGGAGGAGGGATGTTTCGGGGTGGAATCAATACACCAAATAGCCCAGCAAATTGACACCACCCAAATATGCTAAATGTCAGATGAGGTGAGGGATGATTTTAGTGTCAGGATTTGAAAAGGTTGAATCCATAGCTTTATCTTGCAAGGATAACAAGTTGCTATTTAACTTGAGGTGCAGAAGCTCTTCTTAATAAGCATTTCTTTACGAATGACTGCGGACAAAGAAAAATGGGAAGTAATGCTGTTTATCCAGCTGGAGCAATATCAAGTCCAGGGAAATGGATTGGCCTCCTGACTGGAGACAGGAGACAGGAGTGTGACTCAAGATTGTGCATTATTTACACTTCCTGCTCGCGGCAGCTGTCACAGATGTCTCAAAGTTTAGATCGAATAGCTTCAAATTCTGGGTGGAAAACACGACATAAACCATTCAGCAAGCAAACGTTGACATCCCAAAATACAAAATATTAACGCAACGCGTGGAGTAGAAACCAACAGATAAGAGCCGGTTTTCAAATGCACCTTTTACATGGGTGAAAGCAGCAATGCAGTGATGATAAAATAGTCAATTTAAGAAAAATATCAAAACTAACAAATAAAAAACAGTGGCTTGACAGAAAAATGGATTAATGACAGTTTTACTGTCAAAGCACCAATGTGTAAGCAGCGGTTTGCATATAAAATAGATGTATTTGAAGTCATTTTCATGGTAACATGGGGCATTAAATTCTTCTTTATTTTCCAAAAACGGTGTTTCATACAGGTAAGACTCACCAGATATCTCATGATACAATATTATCACAACACTTAATGCACAATCAAATATTATTATTGCAGTATGAGCATTGCAATAACATATATTGTGAGTTATCAACATTTTTTTGAACTGCAAATGATGTCCTCAAAGTTAAACTTTGTCAATATCTGTTTTTCCAAGAAGATAAAGTTGTCACGCTGCAATTTTGTTTTTGTTTTTGTTTGTTTTTTTAAGGCAAAATTAGATCAAGCATACCAATCAAAGTACAACATTCAACTCTTTGACAGAGACTCATTCAGACTGATGGCAACATGTTACCAATAAGACAGCAATTAATTGCAAACCTTCGACATTCTTTCTGAGAGTGATTGCAGTCACTCCAAATCAGACTGCAACTGTTTGCAGAAAGGTTACCTCCTATCAGGCAACCTGTGCAATCACTTTGCAATCAAAATGTGTAGTGAGTGTGCAACATTGCTCTGTGCAACCATTTAGTCACCGGAAGCTGAAATCAGTCCCAGAATGTGAAGAAAATTCAAAACAAACAGCTGGCAGCTGCTTTTGTTAATTTTTAGATGTAAGCATGACTAACTCAAGATTTTAGTGCATGAAATTAGCCCTTTTGTATATAGTATTCACAGAATATTCAAATTTATGTAATAAAATATTGATATTTAGTGTCCTTGCATCGATAGAGTATCATAATACATGTCTTTGCTAGTACTTGAGATTTTTTCTAGTCTTTGTTTTTTGGGGGGAAATATAGGATAACATGCCTTTCTGGATGTCCTGCAGTTTAAGTGTTTGTCTTCAAACTGTTGTAGCTTGTAGCTACGTGTTATTAAATGAAAAGAGGTCATTTGGAAGGAAAGGAAATGTAGCTCACAGGTGTAAGTATTTACAGTTTGATCAAATCTAATAAGAACTTTAGAGCGGAGGCTCAGATGAAAGTGGAAGATAGTGACAGGACTAAACCCTGATGATGGTGGAGCAGAGTAATCAGATGAGTTCAGTTAAGGTACCCTGGACAACTCGTGGAAATGGAAGAAGCATTTGTGATAGACAGGCTGCTGACAGGCAGAGTGAGAACAGTGTCTCCGGGCTAATTGGGCAAAAGTAGTGAGTTGAAATTGAGAAAGAGCTGAGTTTGACAGCGTGGGAAAATGAAAGTGACAAAAAAAATAGTAGTAATAGTCCAAATCAGTAAGGAGGAGCAGAGGCTCCCTTATTGAACTTATAAAAAAGATTATTTCGCATTACATTTGAAATGTAGCACAGTTCTTTTTTTTTTAATCATTCAAAGAGGCAATTAAAGAATAAGAACCTCATTATTTAAATAAAATTCACAACTAAATGCACTGTCTGCCACCTCTCATCTTCCCAGAGAAATTGTCCTTGTCTGTCCCTGATTTTAATTGAACTAATTTGTCTAAAGACACTGTCCCATGTTGTGAGCAATATTTAAAGCATCGGGTAGACTGAATCTGCTGTTTGGTTTTGTTTTTATGTTTTTTTAAAGAGTTTTTTCTTCCAATTTAAATTCACTCCCCTTTCTTTTGCGAAGGATGCCGAAATGTTAGAGATAAATAGCTCAAAACCTTGACAAATAAGATCAAACCATTCTGCGTGGCTGTATAATTTAAGAGGAAGGTGAGGAAACATGAAAGCGCAGCCAGCTTCCCCCAGTGGCTGCATTTGCATGTTCTTAAAAAAAAAAAGAAAAATCTATTTTAATGTTAAGACAAACAACAGCAAGACATCTCCTTTCACCGGGATTCTGCAGCAGCACGCATGGCCGTTTACGATCGTGGTAACAGTGATCGTTGCCGTTACTGGCATCAAACATATTGTTACAATCATGTATATTAGTCAGCTCGATAATTTTGCAGGGTGTTATTTACAATGGGGTTTCGCTCCTTTCCTCTCGCAGCGCTGAAGGTCAATGATAATCGCTCCTGACACAAAGACTCTTGAGTGATCATCTGGGTTCTTGTTTTTCACAATGGGTGTGGAAAAAACCCTGTTTTAGAGAAGGTCACAATATAAGGATAATATCACAGTCATTAGCATTCGAACCACTTGGGGAACACTTGTGCTTGTTTGACAGCTGCACCACCACCATCATCATCATTATCCCGAGAGATAGTTTTTAGGGAAATACAACTCATGACAGTCAATGTAACACTTCAGAACGATGTGTTTTCACACTGGCATTTCGACCCGCTTATGATATGCTCTTGTTTAGTTCTGGCACGTGTTGCAGCACATTTTGAGAATTTGGGAAATATTTGGTTGGGATCGGAATAATATCGCCAGTGTCAGTAAATACAGCCGGTTATTAATTTTCCCTCAGACAAGTTCACAATGAAAGCTCAGATAGTCTGTCCATATTAATAACAGATTATTTGAACACCCTCGAGACACTGACAGGAGCCTCTTGCCTCAGCCAATGAAATGTAATTAAGAGGATAAGGAATTGATCTTTGATTGTGTGTCCTATTAATATGTATTAATGAGGCCAGTGTATTAAAGTTGCTTTTTTTTTCATCAATAGCCACTAATGAGTTTTACAGAGATCAATATCTCTAAAGCCACAGTTTTAAGGCCAAATGTATGAGGGCAGTAACGTCCAAGGCTTCAGTAAACAAAAGGATGTCGCTCAGCAGTTACTTGCTCAGCTTAATCCAATATATCCTTGCATGCATACATAGACATATACATACATGCTGCAGGAGATATGAAAACAAAAGGATTTGTGCTTCCAGACAATTGATTGTTTACTAAAATAATCATGCTACACTTTAATAATTAGTATATTTTGCTTCAGATTAGAAACCACTTCAGAGCTGGTGGGGAGTGCGAGCAGAGCAAGGGGCGTTATTATTCTGCGGTCTATCTCACAGCTCTCTAGTGGTCTATTATTTCTGATGAGCTGACACCTTCATTAGAATAGGAACCCGCAGATGAAACTAAAGTAAAACATCACACCGCTTAATTGGTGGGATAATAAAAATAAATGATAAAACTCTGTTTCCTTGGGGCTGTGAGGCCCCTTTTTCATCTTTTACCTTTTAATTTGACTCCCTGCATCCACTTAGGTCTGCTGTTTCATCGATCAATTACCGGGAGGATTACGGGGAAAGGGAAGGATTACAAGTTGGGTGAATATTGGAGAATAAATCTTGAATTAACTTTTAATACTTTGTGAAGGGCATTACATCTTCTCAGCTGAAAGCTTTTTTCAGAATGTTCTCTCGCTGATGTTGATTGAAAGATATGAAGGCTATATAGCGATATCATTTTGGCCGGCGCATGTGTGTGTGTGCTTTTCCTTTATATGCCACTAAATGTCATGTTTTCCTTGCAAAACGTGCGAGTATACTATTCTGTAGCGTCGTCTGTGCCTCTGCATGTGCGAATACCTCACAATATCTGTTCTTGTGATTGAGCCAGGCCCTCCCAGCCCTCCAGACTCAGTGACGGTGGAGGAGGTGACAGACAGTACAGCCCAGCTGGCGTGGAGCCCCGGCAGAGACAACGGCAGCCCCATCACCAATTACCTCATTCAAACCCGAACTCCCTTCACTGTGGGCTGGCAGAGGGTTAACACAGGTGACACAGTACTTGACGATAAATTTTCATCTTATAGCACATGAGATATTATTCAGATAATTCACAGATGTCCACAGGGAAATGCTGTTATTTCTCTTCCCCTGTTGGCAGGTGGGTCAGTGTATGGGGTCAGCTAGAAAAAAGGGTAGAGATGGTGCAGATTCATGTTCTTACTCAAGACAGTGAAAGGTCCTTCTTGCTGCTGTACTGTGCAAAAGTGTTGAGCGATCACTGATTCTTTCATATGTTGTTGAGAAAATTGGAAACATATATGAAAATATAAGTGTCATGGCTGTGTGCAGGCAGGAGAAGGACCCAAACGCAAAACTCACCACATAGGAATTAAACCCAAAAAGCTGCTTTATTGCAGAATGGCACAAAAACTATAACAACACTAAACAGGGACATGGATAACGAAAACAGGGACATGGATAACGAAAACACAGCCATGAGGGAGACTACAACACTGACAAAGACACAGGGCTTAAATATACTGAGGGATAACGAGGGAATGAGACACAGAAGGAGAGCACAGCTGGGAGTAATCAGGCTGGACGAGACAAGGGAAGCAAAACTAGAAACACTGAGATGAGACACGGACCTTCAAAGTAAAACAGGAAACACACTGACTGAACTCTAGACATGTAAACTTAACAGCAACTGGGGAGACAGAACATAGGAACCTTAAACATGGTACAGAAAGGCACAGTAGACACAACGTGGAACACAGGGAAGCCATATTACAAAACCTAAGAAATAAACTATGATAACCATAACTGAAACCTGGGGAAATAACAAACACAGTACAACAAAGGACTCAAAACATAAACCATAATATAAAAACACAAGAACTCAAAAAGCTGGGTCAGAACGACCCAGAACCGTGACAATAAGACAGTTTGTACAACTCTAATGAGCTTAAAAGTTGATATCTGGTATGATCGCCTCTCATAGGCAAACCTTCTTGTCATTTCTTTAAGTAGTCTCCAGGAATAGCTCTTCCGGCTTCTTGAAGGACATTCAAAGCTCTTCTTTGCATGTTAGATACCTTTAGATGATACCACACTTGCTTCACTGTTGGGGTTCTGAGGAGACCAGTCCATAAATGATATTGTTTCATTGTGTGTTTTTCAATCCAGGTATGATTTTTCCTGCAATGGCAACTGCAAAAAGCCAATCAGCTTTCCAAGTGGTATTACATGGTGACTCAAAATTTTACTTTTCTCTGTTTATAATTCAATTAATTTTTGACAAGATCGCCAACCCCACTGGCTAAAATAAAGCCCCAAACCGTGACAGAGCCTCTGCTGTGTTTTGCAGATGGCTATAGACACTCACTGTTGACGTCCTTCTTACCCATCGATGACAATTTGAACCTAAAATGTCAAATTTGGACCTGCAAAGTCTCAATAAGACCTGTAGGGACGCCTCCAGAATTTTTTCATAGGAGTGGCCATATGGGAGCCATTAAAAATATTGGGGTGGCACACCAAAAACAAAATTTCCAGTTTTATTATGCTGTTGTCAAATATAGACAAAGGAAGAATTATATGCCTGGTTAGTTTCCTGCTGTTAAAGTTGATATCACTGAAAATAGGTACATAAGAAACCCATATGAGATTTTGAAGTCCATAATAATCTGTTTTAACTGATTGATTGATTTACTGACTAGAAGTCCCAACCACTGCTTTAATGATTCTCAACAGAGCTGAGCAGATGTAGATTAAGATTCACACTCCAAGAATGGAGTTAAGTTTAAGAGCAAACTTGTTCAGGAAAGACAAATAAGTATTAGATCACGTAAGAGTGTGAACTGTTGTTGATGTACCAGTGATCTGTGCAGGGATTGGCACCAGCTTTGCTGCAACCTGATATCATCATCATCATCATCATCATAGTTTATTTATATAGCACTTTAAAAACACACAACGCTGACCAAAGTGCTGAACAGTAGAAATATAAGAGATACAGTAAGAATAATATCTCAGTGAATCAAATACCTGTAAATAATATTTTAAACAATTACTATTGTACTATTACTATCACACAGTCACTTGGGTCACTAGTTCTTTCTCTAGAAATAAGACTTTCAAACACCACAGAGACCTTCATGTGTTTGAAAACCAACTATTTACTGCTACAAAACAAAATCATCTGGACTAATCAGATGGATCAGCTGAAGGGCAGGATGCATCTCTCAGGTCTATCAGCTGGTGGATTTTTTTTCCTATTTCTTAAGGGCATGATTTTCAGATACTGTTCGTCTGCTGTAGATAGTTTCTTAGGCCTGTCACTTCTTCTGTCTTCCACTTGTCCTTTTAAGGACACTGCACACCACGTTGAGATATGCCAAGTTTTCAGCTAATAGCACTTTGGGAATCACCTTGTTGCTGCAAAAAATATGATTTGATGCCTGTCAAACTGTTATCTTTGGCATTTTTTGGAGATTCAACTAAAGAAATTAGAACAAATTATGTGTTCTTATGACAGTCTGTTGGTAACAAATTTCCAAGTTGTCTGTAGAACACTGGTTCATCCCTTGATTTAGGTGGCTTTCTATGCTAGTGATAAGTGTCTTAACAAACAAAAAAACATATATATGGTCAGGTGCAAGGTCTGAACTAAAAAAGAGTGAAAAATCTGCCAGTGTCCGGTGGAGAACTTTGAAATCCTGGGGAACTGTTGTTCAAGGCCACTTTAAAAATAACAAGAAAATCTGGCTACTTAGGAAAAATATAAAGAGATGAGGCTTATTTTGGTGGCTCCATATTTTTTTTCATTATTACTTTTTCATTTTAGCCACTTCGATGACCTTCTGTGTACTCATGCTAAGTCAACACCAGCGTCCTTTTCATCTTTTCAAGTCAAGTCTGTTTTTTGTCACAGCTTGGTCCTGAAGCATCTACACAAGCCTAATTTCTACTCCCATCCACAGCCATGAATGGATGAAAACATCATTTGCATATAAAATTGCCATTTCCACCAGAAGTTATTGGACATAGCAAAGAAACAAAACAGCAAACAAGCAATTTCACTGAATGTGAAACTGAGACACTCATCTGAGAAGTGGAGAAAAGGGAATGTGTTTTATTTGGTACCCTCAGCTTTGGAAATACAAACAGAATCAAACCCACTGAATGGGAAAAAAGAACTGAAGCTATCAACTCTGTTAAGTTCAGAGTAAAAGGACCCTAGCAGAAAATAAACAAAGAAAGAAAGGACCAGAGGCAAGAGGAGTTTGGAGAAAGACAGACAGTCATTACGCACAGCTGCAGCTTTTTCCTAAGGTTTTCAAAATGTAACACTCAAAAAATGTTCTTCACCCTCAGTAAACATGAAGCAATAATTTTGATTAAAATGCAACTGAGATGCACAAAACGAAAGGTTTATTCATTAAGGTATAAACTCAATGCATTGCAATCAAGTAAATTTCATTAATCCATTAAATGACACATTTTACATTGTACTTATGTGGGAAAACGTAAACATAGGTGCACATGCTGTAATTTTTTATTCGTCTCTTATAAATGTGAGTTTATATGAAAAAGGCAAATACCAGGCTTTTTCTGCATTCTTAATGATCTGGGTCCAGGTGTCTAGAAAAGGTTGAATGCATATACTGCAGTTGTTTTTATTAGTTTACTTAAAAAGGGTAAGGCTCATAATAATAAACAGTATAAATAATAACAGTTATAGTAACAATAAATCAGCTGGGGTGAGCATAAAGGCAGATTTTTACCAGTCATGGCAGATGGCCGGCCCTTCCTGCGCCTGGGTCGGCTGGAGGTTTCTTCCTGTTAAAAGGGAGTTCTTCCTTCCCACTGTCAACTAGTGCTTGCTCATAGGGGATCGTTGCATGTGTGAGGCTTTTTTTGAGACAATTGAGTTTAACTTAAAAGTATATTGTACAGATTTTATATAGAAAAGTTTGACCTAAATGAGAAAGTAGGAGTTGCTTCACGGTAAAATTCCTGTAATCAAATTTTTACCAATCCTGCAACTGTTTGTTACAAAAAAGGGGCATGATGAATTGACGAAGTCAAATGCTGATCACAGAACTTTCTGAGCACTACAGAGCTTGTTCTGGTTTTCTGGACTGCACCTGTTTTGGTTCCCTGTTATTGGTTTTATCCAATCTCATTATGGCTAAAACAGTCCTGTAATTTAAGTAAAAACGGTGTAAAGGCTGCATTTCACAAAAAAACAACTGCTTGGTTAATGCGGTGGGGAAAAAAATCACATCTAAAAAGCTTAGATGTTTCCCTCCGGAATTAGCTGAGAGCAAAGCAAAGCTAAAAGGAGAGAAAACACTGGAGATCAACACAACTGAGAAATCACTTATGATATCTAACATTGGCCTGTATGTGCTGGAGGTGTACATTGGCAGCTGTTTGCTGAGAAGCTGCGTTAGGCTGGCGACCTGTCCAGAATGTACCCCGCCTCTCGCCCTAGCGTAGCTCAGATAGGCTCCAGACCCCTGACAAGGATAAGACGAAAAGAATGAATGGATAGATGGACATTTGAAAACACCACAACGAGTCAGCTTTTTCACTGTAGCTGTTTGTGCTGTACCGAAGTAGCGAACAAATGTCATTGCACGTTTCAAGCCAATGGCTGTAGGTTTTTTATTGGCATTTCATTGGATCCCTCAGTGTTACTATCAAGGAAGACGCCGCTGTACACAGCAGGGCTGACAGTTAAACCATTTACTGTCCTTTGTCCGAAATCCGCTATCCTCCAGCCACCTTCTACAGTCATGACTCAAAACCAGCTTGCATTCAACACTTTATTGACCAGGCTACGCTGCTTAAACAGTGTATGTGTGCATAATTGTTCTCTTGCTTTAGTTGTAGCTGTTCACTTGTATACATGTAGGCTCTTGCAATGACCTTCCGTCTGCAATGTTTTCTTTTATTCTTAGTCCCGGAGATAATCGATGGGAACACACTGACAGCCACCGTGGTGGACCTCAATGCCTGGGTTGAATATGACTTTCGGGTACTGGCAAAAAACAGCGTTGGTGTCGGAGAACCCAGCCCAGTGTCTGTGAAGACCAGGACAGAGGATGCAGGTACAGCGTATTGATTTCCCTTTTTGTGCTATAACTTGCCTTTATGCGGCTTTATATATATGTGTTTTTATACTGAAATGTGATCATGGTCTGTGTTTTGTAGTTCCAGATGCAGTGCCAGGTGATGTGGGTGGAGGTGGTGGAAGCAGATATGAACTGGTTATCACGTGGGAGGTAAATCATCAGTCTTATGCTCTAGTCTGTTATTCAAAGTGCCCGGAGTCAGTGTCGTTTTCATCTTAAACAAGGTTCTAAATATTCCTCGCTAAACCAAAGCACCTGCTCTGTTTTGCTTGTGGGTGTCATAAATTTGGGGTCAATGGGAGTCTGTCGTCGCTGTAATTTCTCAAATTGCTTGCATGTAAGGCAGCAGCAGCGTATACAACAGAGAAGTAAATCTGACAGATATTCTCATTTGTGAGTCTCGGATCTGTGATGAATTACTGTTCAGACTAATCTACAATGCTCAAATATAGCAGTAAGGAGTCGAATGGAAGAATAACAGTGCTGGCATTGTACAAGTCATTACTTTCTGTGTTATCTCATCATTGGAGATTTCCCATTTCATTATATACAGAATAACTTTTCATTTTAAAAGCTGCGCGGATGCTCGGTAATGAGCGCAGGTTTTTAAAATGGCATTTTTACTGCTCCTTTTATTTCATCAGGTGGGTTGCAAAAGCAATTTGTGGGTCATGCACTTTTTTTGACATTATGAGAGACGGTGGTGACTGCGTGAGCCCGGCGGTGGTGTGAACGTGAGTGGTTTGTATATGTTTTAATATCACTATAGTTTTGTGTTTCACTCTCAGCCTGTTCCCGAAGAACTACAGAATGGTGAGAGCTTTGGTTACATCATCGCTTTCCGCGCCTTCGGAGAAGCTAGCTGGACTCACGTGGCCACCTCCGCCCCTGGCGCGTCGCGCTACGTGTACCGCAACGACAGCATCGCGCCCTTCTCTCCGTTTCACGTTAAGGTTGGCACTTACAACAGCAAAGGACAGGGTCCCTTCAGCCCCGTGGTCACCATCTACTCTGCGGAGACAGGTAAAAGGGTGGACGTGAGTGGAATCTGAGCAAAGCCCCCAAAGTAGATTTTTTTGTTTTTTTATCGGATTGGATTAAAACTGCTCGGTAGATAAAAACACACGCAGAAAAATAAATCTGCAGAAATATCTTTATGTGGACGAGGTACAAAGTCATGGGAACACATTTATGTACGAACCAGCAGATTGCCTTCAAATATCACCGCTGTATTAAAATGCTGCGCCACAGTAAAAACTGGTTGGCATTTAGATCTGTGCTACCTCTCAGTATGCTGAAGGGTGTGGGGTGGGGGGGGGGGGTGTCTCTGTGTGTAGTGTAGTGTTAGTCAATTTACCAGCAGCACCTGTGTGTGATGATTCATCTGAGTAGAGATCAAAAGAATGCGCACAGTTATAAATGTAAAAATTGAAGAGATTTGTTCTGCTCGTTTCTGTGCTTTTGGAAGACGGCGGCACAGCTCAGTCTCCCGTTGTCTGTTTTCAGAGCCAAGTGAGAAGCCAGCGGGAGTTAGGGCCAGAAGTGTCTCAGCCTCTGAGATTGAGGTGAATTGGCAGGCTCTCTCCTTCATCCCTGAAAGGGTTCTGGGCTATGAGGTACATTTTACTCTTTTAAATGGAAATAGAAATCACACACACATTCTCACAAGCAACACGATTCAAATGCTCACCATCAACCCCTGTTGTACCTCAAAACCATCACTTCCAAACTCTGCGTCGCCATGGAAATGGCTGTTTCACTTGGCCGACTGTTATTGCCAAAATTATACAGCTCTTTGTGGCAACACAACAGGAAAACATGTCAGAGCGTTTTCAAGAGAACAAAAGAAAATTGCCTGGCCACATGCCTTTTCATGTTGCTGTCATTCATGGGATATCATGATAGCAATATCGGGCCTTGTGTCACGGCACTGGGAAATGCTACACTGGAAATGCATGGAGCACAGCACAGCAACAACACGGGTCTAGATGTGGTGTGTTTTTACTTTCCTCTGAGTAAAACATTAAATTGTTACACTTCAAACCAGGAACTGCTGATTTCATCCCTTCTTACCTTTAAAACTAGGACACCCTGATTGCCTCGTCCACATACCTCTGATGGAATAATCAGGATGATCAAAGGGCTTTAATGAAAGATGTTGTTATTCTTTTGCTCAATAAAGTCAAAGTTGTTTCCATAACTCCATCTGCGAAAGTAGATTTCTTTTTTTACTCTTTTTTTTTTGTTGCTGTTTATATCTGAGCTGCTTCTATGATATTAGACACTGAATAATGATGACGGAAAAGTGAATGACTGCTTAAAAAGGATTTCATTTGGGATCATTTATTTCCAGGCTAATGGTTTGGATAATAACAAAAATCTCTTACGTTTATTTTAAATACATTTTGCTGGCACTCGATCTGTAGCATAACTGTTTAAAAGCCATTTTTAATCAGGCAGCTTTCCATTAAAGAAAAGAATATTGCCACATTACAAAGCCATGAGGTATTGTTGAAACAATTAGATAGTCAAGCAACAATCAAAAGAATTGATTGGCAATTTAATATCAATGAATAGTTTCAGTCATTAAGTACAGAGGCTTTATAGTTCCCTGCTCCACACTTGGGAGTATTTGCTGCTTTTCTCTTTTTGGTGTTTGCTAGCAGCAAAAACACTTTTACACTGAATATTTTTATTATTTTTTGGCAATTAATATATGCTAATTAATCAGCGAGGAGACTAATCATTCATCTATGTTTGAATGTATGTACATTTTAAACCATTTCTAGGAGCTGTAAGGATTTGTAATGTGAGATATCAAATATCTCACATTACAATCATCATTACAATCATTACAATCAAAGCCTTTTATTTAAAATTTCACAGTTCTTTCAAGACATCAAATGTAGCGTATTTGCAAGCATCCTTTTATGCCACATGGGCTAGAAAGCACATAAAGAATAGATGTACACATTTTGCTCCAATCCAAAGCCTTCTATCCCGAATGACGTGCTCTCTTTCTGAAAATAGGTGGCTTACTGGGAAGATGACACTAAACCAGAGACCATGGGGAAAGTTAGAGTGCCTTGGAACCAAACCTCGGCCACAGTGAGTGGCTTGGCAGGAAATACACAGTATTTCCTAACAGTCAGCGCCTTCAATACAGCAGGCACTAGCCCATTCCTCCCTGCAATCAATGTCACCACAAAAAAGCCACGTAAGTTGCGGCACACAATACTGCTGCTCAAGGGTTTGATTTTTGTGACTACACTGCTTAGAATTCAGAGGTGGAAACAGTTAGTGGTTTAATTGAAGTCTATTCTTAGCTTTTCCAATAATGCTGGGGAAATCTAGCATGTGTTGAAACGTGTCTGCATCCAAGTCCAGTAACGCAGTGCAGCGTTACAAAAACAGAATGCATGTAAAGGATAACTATGCAAATATAATAGGCTAAATCTGAGAGATTGTATTGTTGTGAAAAAATATGGTCTTTTTCACAGGAACACGTGCCAAAAAAGTTAGATCAAAAAAATATAAAAGGAAAGTCCCAGAGAGGATGTAAAGATAGGGAGGGTTTTATCACTCTGTGTAAAATTGTAAAGCCTTTGGGGATTTTATCATCGACGGGACAAAATATTAAAAGATTAAGAGAACCCAGAGAAATCTTTGTGTGCAGGGGAAGAGGGCTGAAAACCAGTTTGGATAGCGCCATGCTCTGCAGGCCCTCGGGTATCACTGCATTCAAAATAGACATGGTTCTTCACTGCATGCAAAAAATGCATGTCCACGTACATAGCGTGAGTAGCTTGTACTTCTCTATGAGCACTTAAATTCATCATGTAAATATTCCAGATTTAGCCACATAGACTCATTTTAATATGTGGTCCCTCCCAGGTTGATGGCATATTTTATCACATAGCAAATAATCGAGGCGCAGAGCTGTCGAGCAGTTGATTTTTATTTAATGCAAAAAATATAAAAAATATATCTTTCTTAGGACTGCCACCTCCCTTTATTCCCAAATGCTTGCAAAGTCTTCTTAAAAGGAGATGAAGTGGCAAACGTTGCCCTGTTGCGAATCTTTAAAAACACATTAAGTTCATAATGATCGCATATTATTCAAAAACACTAAGTCATCTCATTTACCACATTTGACATAGTAGTTTCAATTTAAAGCGGAGTATGAAGATTTGTTGAGCAGTGGTTAGAGACGTGCTGGAACACAGACTAGCAACAGTTCATGTAACAAACACAGAGTCTTCATCTCAATGCCGACAATTTCAAGTCAGCAGCAGGAGGCAGATTAGCGTGCTTAACCCGAATAAAGCTGTTTTATACACCATTAGTTTGCTTTGTACAAGAGCTGAAGCAGGTCTGATTTAATGCCCTGTGAGCAAAAGTTGCCTCCAAAAACCCCCCGAAGGAATAGCCAACATGGTTTTGTTAGCCTTTAGCTTAGTCATCAGCCTGACCCGCTTATATCTTTTCTGCTTCCAAGCACACTGCTTCCACTTGACTCTGTGCAACCGGACCTTGATCTGTCAGTCCCCTGACGAGGGCCTTGTGTCCTCAGTAGTCACAATCTGCAGGGCTTTGCCTTTATTATCCTTGGCAACTTGCATTTCCCAGGAGGTGTTACCCTCTCACTGAATTTACTAACTGCCAAAATGGGCAATGTAGTCAGGGAGTGGGGATTAAACAGATGCCACCTGCCATTTAACAGATCAGTGTAGCATCAAAATGATTTTGAAGCTGCACCTTAAAGTGAACTGGTTCCATTCTGCTTTTATCCACACTTTATTTGTACTTCCAAACTGGGCAAAGATTAGTGTCATATAATAATAGTATTTAATTCAATCTTTTTAAAGTTGTGTTATCCTTTAAGTGAAATAAAATCTTTCTTGTTCAATCTCACCAAGTTGGGGTGCTGTGTAAAATGCAAATAAAAGCAGAATGCAATGGTTAGCTAATTCCAATAAACTCATATTTAGTACAACGCAGAACATAGAAGTCATTTCAAAAGTTTAAACTGAAAAAGTATTAGCTCATTTTGAATTTGACAGCAGAAATAAGTCTCAAAAAAGTTGTAACGGGGCCATGTTTAGTACTGTGTAGCATCCAGTCTTCTTTTAACAGCAATCCATGAATTTTTTGGGAGCTGAGGAGAGAAGCTGCTGGACTGATGTTGTTCTATTCTTGTCTGATATAAGATTCGTGGTGCTCAACACTTCTGGGTCTTGTTTGTCGCATATTTCATTTCCGGTTGTACTAGATGGGCACTAAACGCAGCCCCATACCATCACTGATCATCCCTCTCCTTTTTAATCTGGGGACGTAGTGTCCGTGTTTTGCAGAAAGATTTTCGGGTTTCAATTTGTCTCACCACAGAACAGTTTTCCAGGGAAGATGCTTCTGGATCGTGTTCACATACAGCTTCTTTGCACGATAAAGCTTTAACCTGCACAGCAAACTGTGCTCACAGACAATTTCTGGAAGTGTTCCTGAGCCCATGCTGTGATTTCCATGACTAAATCATGCCTGATTTTAGTGCAGCGTTGCCTGAGGGCACGAAGATCACGTGCATGCAGCGTTGATTTTTGTCCTTATCCTTTGCGCACAGAGATTTCTTCAGATTCCCCGAATCTTTCATGACATCATGTACTGCAGATGATGAGATTTTCAAAGTCCTAACAATTTGACAAACATCATTCTGAAATTGTTCCACAATTTGCAGACACACTTTTTTCCCAGATCAGTGAACCTCTGTCCATCTTTACTTTAGAGGAGCTCTGCCTCTTTAAAATGCTCCTTTTATACCCGGTCATGTCACTGACCTGCTGCTCATAAACCTGTTTAGTGGTTTCTTTTTAATATCACTTACTTTCCCAACTTTGATGTGATGTGTTGTTGCTATCAAATTCAAAATGAGCTATTATATTTTATGAAATATTAAAATGTCTCAGTTTAATTATCGGTTATGTTTGCCTTGTTTTATTGTGAATACACTATTGGTTTTCATTTATATTTTATACAGTGTCCCAAATTTTTGAAATTGGGATTATACACCAATGTGACACTAATGTTTCTGCAGTGATATAAAATTGTTAATAATTTTTATATCACGCAGCACCTTCCCAGCCGCCAATGAATGTGGGATGGAACCTAATGGGCTCTCAGCTGTCTGTTTACTGGGAACCTGTGGTGGCAATGGAATCAGAATCAGAAGTTTTGGGCTATCAAGTGAGTTTTACTTTCTCAGTTGCTTTCACGGGAACTTGGTACACTGGGTAACCACGAAGCTTATGCGTTTGAAGTTGTCATGGTGTTAGAAAACATATTTGCAACCTTGTTTGTGTTCCCCTTTCAGCTGTCATACCATAGGCAGCGACACAAAGAGGAAATCACACTCACAACGGTCAATGCAACAGCAGAGCTGACCCTCCCTGAGGACGATGAGGAGTACATCATCTTTGTGCAGACACTGAGTGAAGGAGGATTAGGGCCGGCATCAGATCCCATACGAATCCACCAGCTAAGTAAGCTCGGTGTTCATGTTTTGTGAAGTTGCAGTGGTTAAATGGTCAAAAACGGAAGGCTGAAAGAATAATTTGAGTTTTCCTCGTGCCCTTCCCTTTAAAATATGCTGCTCTCATACTCCAGAGGAACATAGACAAATGCCAAAATTTGACATATGAATTCACTGGGACCTTTTTCTTTCTTTTTTGCCCATTTTTGTAAATAAAGTCACTTAACACTGTAAATCTGACAGGGACATTTTGTCCTCCCCTGACCCACCCTTACTCAAGGCCCCATCCCACCTCCCCTGCTCTCTTCTGCGCTTATAGTTTGCTGAAATATGCAACACAATCCATCTCTGTCACAGACTCGCTTTGGCTAGATGCTATTGGTGTCCTGTGGGACTCCAGCGGGGGCTATTCCCCTGCCCTAAATGCTACTTTGCATTGTTGAACTTTTGTGTCGTATCCCTGAAAACAGAAAGAGGTAGAATTCAACATGGGTTTTTTTGTTAAATGGGCTCATCATTCCCGGAGGAGCAGGAAACGCGCTGTCTGGCAGAGTCATTTTTATCAAGTATATTATGTAGTGAGAAAGCAGCGATTGAAGCAAACTGCATCAGTGTTCTGGGTCCTTTACACTCACTTCCTCTAATACATTTTTTACCCATGCACTTAAAAGCCAGCACACAAATGAGTTTGCACCACATTTTAAGTAACCCCATGAAACGTCAGCATGCATATTTTATGTTTTGACAACCTAAGCGTGTTATTCTCAGCAGCTGACAGAGCAGAGAATTGAAACTTTGGGTTAGAAATGTGTGTTTCAGACGGATGTCAGCCACGGTGCTTTTACCTTGTTTTTCTTGTTTCCCAGGTATGAGCGCCCATGGCTCCAGAGCCTGGAGTGTGGAGATCTCCCCCCTCTCCCTGTTCCTCACCATCGCAATATCCTCATTCAGGTCATCGTTGTGACACAAACAGACTCTGCTCTGTTTTTCAGCATTCACTATTGGCTCTTGTTTTGTTTTGTTTTCTTTAATTTGTGAAAGTGGTCAAGGTTTTTTCTTTTCTTGCATTTTTTTAAGGTACCGCATATTTTTCTCCCAGTGTTATTTTGCAAGTATGCAGCAGCACAAGAGAAGAGTGTGCTGTCAGACACTTAATTAACAGTAAACGCTTGCTTTTTTTTTCTTACATAAGTCTGTTTTGACATTTTTGCTGGTTGGGAACAATGCTCCATTTCAACTCTTTTTTTGACTCTAGAATGATACAGATGCCTTACTTCCATTCATGTGCCAAAGTAGTTGCAGCCTTCTCGTTGTTATTGCTAAGATAGCTACATGCTTTCCTCAACATTTTATTCCTCACTTTTCTTATCACGAAGGTCTCAGTGAACCTTGCAGAAAGCCCTGCAGAGAAGTTTATGATTGTTTGTTTGTTTCCTTGTATTTCTGAGTTTTCAGTTCTCCTCTCCAAAATCAGAAAGTAGGGACATGTTCATTCACCTGTGCCCGTGCCTTGGAGATTCTTGTATCGGCGTCACTTATAGACACTGGTTAGTGGTACTTAGCGTTTCAGAACATACTGCAGCCATCTCCATCTTTACGTGATCCTTTAAAAGTCGGTTGTGTCGCAGATGAAACTCATAAAACACCTCATAGTGCCGTTGTCCTCCATTTACCTTTTATCTTTTGATTGTGCGGAGCTGAATGTACCATGAAAGCTCCTAAAAATTTTAATGCCTCACGCTAGTTATAGTTATAGCCTGCCGAATGATGGATTTGACTTTGCTCTGCGTTCACAAATTTTACATTTGCTTGTATACAGTAGTACCGGCAGAGGTGTGTAACTGCCAATGTAATTCCGTTTTTTTGCAGCACCAGTGCTTCAGCGAACTTAAACAGCAGTCATTGAAGTCATTTATCAAAGGAAAATGACAAATGTTCACCGGCTTCAGCTTCTCAGATGTGAGACTTTGTTGTTTAAGATGTAAAACACAGCAAGGTGTACCTTTTATTATATTTCCCTCCACAGTATTCAACTTTGAATGGGATTGCAATGATCTGCCAACAGACCACTATATGAAATCAAGATTAGAGGGTGATCTAGTTACTTTTGTATCGATTTTCTAATCTCACTTTCCTGTTTTCACATTAATTTTTGAAATATGCAGTATTTCCTTTATCTCGCTAGGCTAAAGGTTTTGCCTGGACCCTGTACTACAAAGTGAGTTCAGCATACTCCGGGTATTTCTCCAGTATCAGAATTCAGCTACCCTTACACTTGGTAAGCTGGTCATCAACTTGATAAGTCAACCCAGGGTTTGACCGGCACGTTCTCGCAAAATGATCTGCACATTTGACCAATCACAGAGAAAAGAAGATAAAACTAAATGGGAAAAAATGAAGAGGTTAAAAATGAAACAGTCTGAAACCAACACAGCTGCTGCAGCGTGAGGAAAAGCGCTGTACAGTCGTTTAGTATTAAACGCGCTGTATGAAAGCGTGAGCGTTTAGCCTGTTTGAAGCCAGGAGTGAAAAAATGCCCACTGTGTAACTTTACTGAATTATCGATATCACAGCTCTATCGTTAAAACACAGGAGAATCTGATGGATTATAATCGAATATTCCCTTTAATTAATGTTTAAAAGACAGTTTTAGGTTTTATTCTTTCTGCTGCAGGGCTGGTGGTGTTTAACGGTCTGAGAGTTAAGAATAAATATAAAACATAGTCAAGTAGCTCCTCTATTTTAGGATTTTAGGATCACATATTAACGCTTTCAGAACAATAAAATTGTTGTTCAATTTATTCCTGATGCTGATCAGGGAAATTCAAAGATTTCCCTTTAGACCCTCCTGCTATCCACAGATGTGAGGGATGTTTCAGGAATCGTGATGCTGTTTTTGGAGAATTGATCAATCAGTAGGAGGTGACTTCATACCTGTTGGTTGCTAAAATGGAACAAAAGCTTCTTTAGCTTCACAGCATGAGTTACTGTGATGATAAAAAGCGAACCACCTTCATAGTAAAGAAAACTCAGGGTTAACCTGAAGTTACCTGGATAGAAATCCTCTGCTTTGTAGTACAGGCCGCTGGTTACTGACCTTTGATAGCACGGAGCAAAGCAAAATGTCATTGAGTCTAATGTCACATTCAAATTGATATTTCCACGGTTGGTTAAAGGAGAAGACTGATACCACTCTCATGTTAGCACATTGACAATGGGACCAGTGCGTAAGCATAGCTTAGCAAACCGTCAGCTTGACTTTGTCCAGTATTCACAGCCAGCACCTCTAAAGCTTACTTATTTGTTTACTTCATCAGATGGGGCACGTCAGGTAGTCGAAACAAACAAATTTCTCTATCTGACTAAACTGACAATATCAACAATCTCTTCACACCCACTTCACACTGATTTGCCAGCCGTGTGGAGGTGAGAAAGTAAGCTGGGTTTGAACTTCTCTGTCGCATTTTTTATTTGTTAAACACCTGGTTTTTACACTGAAACATTACCAGTGCTTTCAGTTAAAGACTCAAAGTCTCTCTTGGACAATTATTGCATTTTACACCTCACTGCGGTGTCAAAGACAAATTCTTATGCTTCCGACATGGTTGAATTTGCTCTTTCCTAACAGAGCCTGGCACTGGTTCTGTTGTGAATGCACGTACAAGGGTGGTATAGCATCTCTATGATAGAGTTATATAGGTACGGCAATACAGTTTAAAGAAATGACACAAATAATCTGAACTAAGGAGTCTCTTTACTTGTTTGGAAGATTTCAGCTGTATTTCTCTCCTCATGTCGACTGAAAGCTCCATAGGTGAAGCTTATTTTGTCAAACCAGTTTAATGCTGATGAGCTAATTTAAAATAAAGCAGATGCCTGGTTACCAGACACGAAGACACACCTAGTGGCCAATCACAATCCAGAACTCTCATGTCTTTAATGTATGGCATGAAAAAGAAAATCCAATATGTTTGAGCTTTGAAACAAACAAAATGAGCAATCTTTGGATGTTGCCTCGAGCTCTGAGTACGAGGGATATACATTGTTCACAGTTTTCTGAGTGATTAATGGGAAATACAACTGACTGATTAATCAATAGCGAAAATAATCATCAGTTGCAGCCCCAGTCTACATCCATCTGGGACCACACAGCCAGTGCCAGTCAGCGTATATTCACAGCCATTGCAGTCGGGACGAGAGGTTTAAAGCGCTGCCAATTGTGCCAGTCTGATAATTGAAATCTAGCCACCAGCTTAGACATTATTTGGCTAAATGTGTGGTCAGCTATGTTTTTAATACTCTGTGAATTTGTCCTTTGTTGTCAGTCGTATTGGTTGTTTTTTTTTTTTTATGTGGTCCGTGTTGTCATTGTTTATTTATGTATTTCAGCGAAACCCCGCAGCTCAGGTATTCAGACCTGCTTCACTTCATCTTTCAATAGCTCTGAGATGGCAGAAGCGGATAGATCTGAAATGTGTCAGCGCAGGACACAGGGGTCTATTTAACAGTCTGACTTGATGAACGGAAAGCCTGATGTGTGCCAAGATTTAGCAGACATTAAAACATCTTAATAAATTAGAGCAGCCCTGCGGGGTTTCTGTGGGGAAAGGGCATAGGAGTAATGGTACTAATGACACTCACAGAAGGCGAATATATCAGGATTTAGGGAAGACTAAATCAGGACAATCTCATCAAGACGACACGATGAAAGGTGCGTGCGTAAATGTGTACGAGCATGATTGTGCACGGTTATTACCTTAGTCTGCCACATCATGGACAAGTGCTTTCAGACAACCATTTATCTATTTGGAGGGAGGAGGGGGGTTAAACTCATTTCTTGTGCTATGGTTCAAAGCTTTGTGCGACTGAAGCATTGCGGACATTGAACGAGAGCAAAACAAGGTCAATGTGGGAGGTAGAGATTTTTAAAAAGTGAGTTTGACTCAGGGAGGAGTTGAAATGTCTGTCCACTTAACGCAGATTCCTGGAGCGAAGGACTAAGTAAGATTTAAAAACCAGAAAGGGACCCAAATCCAAGGGCACATCAGGTGCATGTGGCAGGTAAAGCTCACATTAAATGTAAAGGTTTACTTCCCCGATGAGTGTTGAAGCTGTCTTTGAATCGTGTTTCGTTGTTTTTGTGGCTCTACGTGTGGTTAATCTGTATACATTCTTTCATCGCGGAATGACATTGTTAGACTAACAGATGTTTACACAGGAAATGCATTATTCTGGCTAATTTATTGATTATATGAACTGAAAAAAAGAACTTGTGTCTTTGGGTACATAGAAGCATTGCCAACCTCTGTTTTGTAATGTATCAGTACTGTGGAGATGTTTTGAGTTTGACTTTGATCTTCTTCTTTTTTTTAATGTTTGATATGGTTACTGATTGGGTTTTTTCCCCCTAAAGATTCTGCACAAAGGTCAAGTGTTGTTTTTAACAGAACAATTAAGAGCCAGAGATTTCTAAATCAAAAGTTGGTGCGCTGAGATCTCCCTTGCCTTCATAAATGATGCTGTACATAGTGTATGTATTTCGTTTGGCTTTTTTAGCAACGTCCCCGCCCTCCCCCAACCGGGAAACCAAACAGTGCTGCTTCCAATTGTAATTCTCAGTCAAACCCTGAATCTGAAAAATACATGAGCAGAGAGTAACATTTCCTAGCAGCTGCTATCACACACAGCCTTTTGGTGCAGTGACACAAACACCTACCTGTTACAAGGTAGCCGGCCAGTGCACAGTGGATAATACGAGTGGTATTATTTACGAGTACTTTTTGTCTTTTTATACCAATACAGCTTTACGATTTTCAGAAAAGGCTAATTTGATCCTAAAATAAGTGCGAGTAGTTTCATTGGATTTCTAAGTGCGGACAGACTTTACGATTACAGCTCTGGGTTACAACGCTTGGCCTTTCTGTCGTGACTCCTCAAAATGTTCATGTCGAGGTGATCTCCGTGAGATCGTGGCAGCAGCGTTTTCACATTGAAAAGTCATCAGCTGATCTTGATATGCTGAAGCTGTGCATGTATGATATCGTTTGGTGCATTTGTGTTTTCTAAATGAGGGAGTTAATAAAAACAATTCATTGAGGGTTCCTGTCTTGGATTTTTTTTTCTGAATTATATGTGTGCTGCTGTCATTTACAGCATCAGCAGTTTTAGTGTGTTTTACTGCAGGAAGACTTTGAGTGGTGCCTTGGGGCACCGTCAAAGCTATAAAATGCATAATATTATGAAAAAGCGTATAAATGGAAGTAAATGTCAGCGGTAATGTCCTTTTCGGTGGCTAAAGAACACATCTAAAGGGTTTTTTTGTTGGTTTTTTGCTGCTTATACTAATTGTATTCTTACACTGTGTAATAACGACTGCCCTCACAGATATGAAATGCTTTGAATACTAACGTCACGCCGTATCAAAAAAATACACAGTCTACAGCACACATCAAGCAGATGGCTTTTTTACTGTAGCCTTCACAAAGAGTACTGCCGAATTTCTTCTGGATTATTAGAGCATGTATTTGCTGAACTTCAGATACCTTCCACTAAAACAACAGAATGACAGGGAAAGCTGCTGTGAAATATTGATTGAGCCCAGTGTTGCAGAGATGCTTTTAAGATAATAAGAGGGAGAGGACCCTGTGAAGAGATCAATATGAAGGGGAAGTGAAGAAAAGATAGGTTTCTCCCTACATACCACAGATCATCCGTAATGAGCTAGTGTGTCAATACTTTGGCCGGGGCTCCTCGCATACCACTGGCCACTAAAGAGCATCAGGCCACTGTAACTTGTCTGCAATTAGTGGAATTTTACACCAGACTAAGGGGAATGTATTTATGTCCGATTAGTATACTCATGGTGGTCACCTTAGCTCGAAAACTGCAAAGTGCTTCGCATTCAAATATCCCTTAGAGAGATATTGGCTGAGACATGATTGGTGTATATTGCCTCCCAATGCAGCAGATGCTGTGGCACGGTTGCTACGGATTGCAAGTGTCAATACTGCCCCCTAATGGTCCCACCATCCCAGTGCATCTCTCCAGTGTGAGGCAGTAAACTGGACATGAGGCAGTGCCTGCAGTATGACTGCACCGAACAGGTACACTGAGAACCAGAGACGGAACAGGCAGTCATATTCTGATTCATACCCAATGTTGAGTCGGTTCACAGTTTTAGAGGTAGAGGTTAACCTAGAAAATCAGTAGAATAATCCTTTAATTGTCCCACAAGGGGAAATTTGGGCGTAACAGCACCAAGAAAGACACATATACAAACAAACAGTACACAAGACACAGCACAGAAACACACAATTTTTACATATTTTACATATATGTACATAATTTTTACATATTTAAAGTATTATTGAAATAGAATTGAAGAATTTAAGTGAAGGTTATATCACAACACCAGTGTCTTCAAGGGGCTTCATATTGTAAGGTAAAGAGTCTACAATAACAGACGACCCCCTATGTTAAAGCACTTGGTGATGGTGGGAAGGAAAAACTCCCTTTCAACAGAAAGAAGCCAGCAGCAAAACCAGGCTCAGGGGGAGGCAATCATGGGGGTGATGGGAGGAAGACAGTTCAGTTTAATTTTATTCATACAGTGCCAAATCACAGTAACAGTCTCATTAAGGCTCTTTATATTGTAAGATGATGACCCTACAATAATAGAGCGAAAATCCCCAAAACAAACAATCCTTTGTGAGCAAGCACTTGGCAACGGCGGGGAGGAAAAACCACCTTTTAACAAGACGAAACCTCTGGCAGAATCAGGCTCGGGTAGGGGCAGGCATCTGCCACGATTTGTTTGGGGTGATGGGATGAAGTTAGGAGAAAAGACACACTGTGGAGGAGAGCCATTATTAATAGCTGTGGTGTGGTGTATAAACACAGAGTGTGAAAATAGATGAATGAAAAATAAACGCTTCCCATTGCATCGTGGGAAGCCCCCAGCAGTCTAAGCCTAGTGCAGCATAATTAAAGTAAAAATATGTGTGCTTCGGCTGATGGTCTGTGATACGATCCGCCTGGTAGTGGCCCTTCCACCCCACACCGTTAGGTGGTGCTGTTTGTCCCTCGGCATTCCCAGTGGCCCAGAAGAATCATCGAAGAAACGAGTTGTTTCCTGCGTTACACATGTACATAGCACCAAATTAAATGATGGCTTCTTCAAAGAAGAAAGGTTTAAAGAGCAGTGGCCCTAAGGACAGTAATTTGGACACCAACGACGACGATAAAACCGAATTGTGCCCCGGTTTCAGAGACGTGGACGTTTTTGTTAAAGTAAGTAAACAAATCCGGAGTTCATGCTAGCAGGCAAGAAAGCAACGTGGATGCCTGATAGCTGGTTGAAAACATCCACAGCAAGCTGTTGAGACAAGGTGACTTTTATACAGGTGATTGTAAAGGTAAAGGTCGACGTTACGAGTCTGGAGTGTCTTTGCTAAATCGTTAGAAATGTGGAAGTCTGTAGTTAACAGTTATTATCATGCAGTGTTGCAAGTAACTGACGAAAAGTGATAGAAGTCCTAAAGTATCTCCTGGGACCAACCACATACTCTATTAAAGTCTTTGGTTAAATAGCCTCTGTTTATATAAAGTCAGCAGAGCCAGCAATGACAAAGTAAGAGCATTTTAAATTATTCAATAAGCACTATATCCATGCTGCTTTTCCCTGTGGATAAACCTTATTGTTCCCTCAATATGATGTAATAACAGTAACTAATAAGGAACAGCAGTGTTTCCGTGCCCTTTATTTTTAATTATAATCAATTTCAATATATTGAAAATGGCTTTAAACAGTAACTAACAGCTCAATCTTTTTCTCTACAGAATGGGTTTGGTGCTGTATTATCAGCCACCAAAGCATCTGCCGGCCTGCCTCAAGCTGGGGATGAATATGATTTCTATCGGAGCTTCCCAGGATTCCAGGAGTTCTGTGAAAGTCAAGGAGATAAGCTCCTGCACTGGTGAGAATATAGTGTGTTGTTGCATTATTTTATTTTTTTAATGCACAGATTCAACAATACATTCAGTGAGTTGATCAGAATCAGAATACTTTATTGATCCCTGGGGGAAATTATGTTGATTACAGTGCCCCAGTACAAACAGTAACAAAAACAGACAATACAAGAAGTAAGACACAGCACAATATATTCATATGTATATATTGTGTAGTCCTGACAAACTATGTTGTTGAGGTTTGAGGCAACACTACAGTTTTGCAGCAGCACACTCCACTTATAATGAAAACCGAGCTTAATGATAATGAGACCACATGAATCTCTTAAACCATATCTGTATACCAAGCATATATTAACTCATTTTAAAAAGTAATTTCCATCTATACTCACTTGCCTGTAAATGTATATTACATTTACGTCATTATTTTTAAAGTGTATTTTGCAAAAGTCTCAAGCCGCCCGTCATTTCATGTCAGTGCAGATATTTACTGAAATATGCAAATGTAGATACAAATACAGTATAGAAGACAGAGACAGTTGGTACATTTCTAATGAGTTTGAAAGTCAACATTTGGTATGATCGTTTTTTATCCTTCAACACAGCCTGAAATCTGTTAGGTAAGCTCTGTTATCATTTCTTTAAGTAGTCTTCGGAAATGGTTCTCCAGGCTTCTTGGAAAACATTCAGGGCTCGTCTTTGGCTGCCCTGTTTCATGACAGAGGATCCACCATGTTTTTCAGGTGGCTGTAGACACTCAAGGTGTAAGACCTGTTGCCACTGATTTTCAATCCAGTTCTTGTGTAATTTGTCATATCTCACCCTTCCCTTCCTGTTTTCCTTAACAATGGCTTCCTGACAACCACCCTTCCACTGAGACAGTTTCTGATTACTTTAATACTCTTTACCTGTTGTACATAGTTTTTAATGCCTACCACTATTTCCTTGGGGCTCCATTTTTCCACTTTAATTTTTTTTAAACAACATACTCCACACCATGCCAGGGTATGCCAAATTTTCAGCTAATAGCTCAGTGGGAATCACATTGTTGGCACAAAAATGCTATTTTTATGTCAGACATTTCGTTTCACAGGCATAAACTAGCGTTTTTCATAGATTCATCTAAAGAAATGAGACCAAAAGGATGTTTTTTAAGCAGGCTTCTAGTAGCAAAATGCCTAAAGATACAGTTGGCTGTTTGCCAAGCTATGTGTAGGCACAGCACTGGTTCATCGTTTCAGTTGGGTTTCAGCTTGCATGATTCATAGGTCACTGTTAAGTGGCTTAAAAAATATTTCTCTGAACATGATCAGATACAAGTACCGGATTAAAAATCAGTAAAAAAGCAACCAGTGTCCAAAAGCCTTTGAAATACTTCGAGAAAGCCTGGAGAGCTGTTGCTCAAGAGAAAAGCACTTTAAAAAAATAGTAAGAAGGTCTGGCATCTTGGAAACGAAATACAAAAAAACGAACTCAAGACTTTTGCTCATACTCTACATGTACGTGTGATGCTTCTAGCAAACAAGATCGGTGATCGTTTGCTTCGGCTGATGGTGGGTTATAAACGTAACTGAAAGTAACACACCAGTATTAAGTTGTTATGTGTTGGGTTTGATATGTGTTTGGGATTAGTAGGATCTGTAGTATTTTACTGACTGATAGTTATTGCTTAGTCGCTCGCACTAATTAGAAATCTGCTGACATCTCAGTGTAAAAGAATGCACGAGGGCAGCTGTAGACACGATAACTGGCGCCTGATATCGGTCACGGCCACCTCAGTTCCTGCAAAACAAGCAACTCTCCCCACCTGTTTTAACCAATCAGACAGATGCACATTCTCAGATAAGACTTTGTGTAATGCCTAGATATCTCCTCTTTTTTGGGAAATTGGCTCCTGCTAACTGCTTGCAGACTGTTTTCTGAACAGAACAGATCCATAATCATCCAGTGCTTTAATAAATACACCAAAAGATGAAGTGTATCGACTGGTGATTCCTAAAGGTGGATAAACAATTGTGCGACATATGGCACTGGGACTTCTTACACAAGTAGAGCGAAAACACAGTGATAATTATAAATAATGTGGCATAACAAAAGATCTGTCAGCCTTAGTAAGCGATCAGACCCATCCAGGATGCAGACGTGGCTGGCTGCCTTGTCATTAGAAACTCGTAATTGCTGGACTTCTAGATTAAAACACAAGGTAGCAGTTTTCAAACTAAACAGGGGTCAGCAAAGGTTTCCAGACGTCTCCCACGAGGCTTTAGTGCAGACGTACCCTTTGACACGCATGCAGATGAGTTGTTTTATTGAATAACTAACCTGTCACTAGCTGTGCATCAGTAATCAAAATGTAATCTTTTCACTGTGCCTCTGTGTTAGTATGAGTCAGATAATGCAGCACCATGGATGCAGATCTCACATGAGAGACCGGAACAAGCTGACAGGGCTGGAGGAGAGGTTCGACTTGGTCGTGGACTCAAATGACGTTATCCTCGAAAGAGTGGTATGACCCGCAGCTTTGGTGTCGAATGAGTTTCTACACGAAAAAGTCTTTGCAAAGTAACCCTGAGCTCTCATGTCTGATTTCCAGGGGATTCTTCTTGATGAAGCTGATGGGGTGAACAGGAGCCAGCAGCCTGTCATGCCTGCAGGGTTCCAGCCTCCAAAAGTTGTCGTTTCCAGCTGGAATCGCAAGGTTGGCTAATTAACCTCTCCGCTATTACACTGCAGATGCCAGTGTCTGCTCTGGGCCGAATTCAAGAAGAAACAATATGTGCCAGACCTGGCAGCTGTTTCTTAAATCTCACGCACACACAAAAAAAAGTTTTTTGAAAGTAGTACGTTTGTTCTACACTTTTTCTAAACAATGCTTTTGTGGATCAGGGTTCCAGTCCTAGCAGTCGTTCCGAGACATTTCGACTGCTCCATGCCAAGAACATCACACGACCTCAGCTGAAATTCAAGGAAAAAGTTGACAACAGCAACACGCCTTTTATACCCAAGATCTTCATCAAGCCAAATGCAGTAAAGCCACTTCCATCTTGTAAGACATGCTTTTTACTCTCATATTCTTCCTCATCCTATTGTTTTCTCGTGTTAGCTTTTGATTGCAATATAAACGCATTGACGCAGGGATGTCAAACTCATTTTATACCACTGAAACTCATTTCTGTCAGTGAAAAGAAGTCTAACTATAAATGTAATGTCTTGATGCATGCTCCTAAAGGAAAAAAAAGTCTAATTTTCCAAAGCTGTCCTGTGGGTGAGCTGATTCTCACC